TGTACCTACAAATAAAAGGCCCCCTGGGCAACTTAGATGCTACACAAATCTGAGGTCACCTATAAAAAGCGGGACTCTGTTGGAGTACCTGTTTGAATAAATTATTTTTCTGATATTCAAATTATTTAATCCTCGCCCGCACATGGGGGGGGCAGTGGTTGCCACACCCCCCCCCCCCCCAGGTAGTTTTTTCTGCTCTGCGCTCAACATTTTGATTGCTAGAAGCCGGATGTTTCGTATAGCTGCTTCTCTATCTTTTCTTAGCGTCCACTGAAAATTTCAAGTTTCTGTGGTTTTTTGGTTTCGGAGATATTGATATGACCTTACTCTTCAGGTGATGTCATAGCCCAAATGACAAATACCCAATACCTATCTTGCGTTGGCTATGGGTCTTGTGAGCTTTTGACACTTTGATTTCGGCCTTTTTGCCAGTCTTACCTCCCACCTATCATGGAACATAACATGTTGTTCGATGGTGTAGAGATGCCAGGGTCAGGGTCAAGGTCAACCTAGGTCGTCTAAAATATTGCGTTTTAGGCAAGCTGAATTTACTTTCGTGAAGTTTCATTGACCATGTATTTTTGGTAAAAGCTTCTCAGTTCATGATCTCATGTAATATGGACACATTCACAATCGGTGCAAACATCAGTATACACACAGACACGCACAGACATACAAACACATATCATTGACCTTGACCTAACTTGACCTGAAATGACCACAGCCAGCAAAAACCTAGTCGGATAGTGTGACAAAGAGGTTCTAGCTGGCTTGGCACCACAATACGGCAGCGTCATCGGTATATGATGAGCAGCACACGTGATATTCCAACGGGCAACGGTGAGCCCAAACAGCAACATTCTTTAGTTTGACCTGACCTGGAAGGTCAATGACTGACCTGATGAGATAAAATTTGGTATCATTGGATTCGTCTCTTCCCAAAGAATTTGTTGCTCTTGACCGCGAAGCTTAAAATCTTGTAAGAAAAAATTGTGGTGATGTTGAATAAAATACATACACAAGCAGGGGACCAACCCATCATATACCGATGACGCTGCCGTATTAGTGCCAAGCCAGCTAGAACAGCTCTTTGTCACACTATCCGACTAATTTGCTGGCTGTGGTCATTTCATGTCAAGTTAGGTCAAGGTCAATGATATGTGTTTGTATGTCTGTGTATGTCTGTGTATGTACTGATGTGTGCACAGATTGGTTTGTGTTTCCCTATTACATGATATCATGAACTGAGAAGCTTTTACTAAACATGCAGTCAAAGAAACTTCACGAAAAGTAAATTCAGCTTGTCTAAAACGCAATAGTTTTAGATGACCTAGGTTGACCTTGACCCTGACCCTGACATCTGTACATCGCAAAACAACATGTTCAATGATAGGTGGGAGGTAAGACTGGCAAAAAAAGCCGAAATCAGGGTGTCAAAAGCTCACAAGGCCCATAGCCAACGCAAGATATTGGGTATTCGTTATTTAGGGCATGACATGACCTGAAGAACAAGGTCATATCTCCAAACCCAAAAGCCACAGAAACATGAAATTTTCAATGGACGCTGAGAAAAGATAGAAAAGCAGCTATACAAAAAAAAATCAGGTTTCTACCTTTACATCCTGATCATATTCCCAACCCCACTTGATGCGGCGGGTGCATCGGCCGTCGGTGTCGCCGGACGTCCCGCCACTCGCTTGAGTTTGTCAATCAAGATGGTTTAAGACATCTAAGCTGCTGCGCTGATCCGGAGAGCGGGTAGGCCGCCGCCGCCCGTCGCTGTCGCCGCCCGGGGCGTGGCTGCTGGCCCTGTCTTCGGTGCTGCTGACGTCGCTGACGTAGTGTTGTGCGTCATAAAACATAACGGTTAAGACTGTTACATGTAAAAGTGAATTGTAGCATGTGCAGGGAATCTTGTGATGAGTTGGTGAGGGTAATTATGCCTGATGCTTGTGAGCAGAGTTGGAGGTTGGTTTCGTGTTTGTTTGTTTTCCGCCCGTTTTATATAAAAAGTTCCAGTTCCTGCTGGACGACGGCAGCGTGGTGACGAGGAGCTACACCACCGACGAGCGGGGCCACCTGGTCTGGCAGGGCACCGACCTGCCGCAGGCGCCCGCGCCACAGCCCGTCTACCAGTAGGGCGTCAGCTGCCCTAGCTAGCTGATCTTGTATTTGGTGCGCTATGCTGTTGTATTTTTGCCGTTATCAGCTCACAATATAAATATTTGCTGAAATATACTCATAATGAAAAAAAGGTTTCTACCTTTAAAAATGTTCAGTGTAGAGCAGAAAAACTAACTTGGGGGGTGGCAACCATCCCCCCAGGTGCGGGCGAGGATTAAGCCTCACACTTTCTGGGGTCGACTAGATTCGTTGCGCAATGCTGTGCCGTTAAATTATTTTTTTTTTATAATAAAGGCATTTTGTTTTATTGTCGAAATTAAAAAAGCCAGAAATTTTCGTCGATTTCGGACGCCGCGGGGGATATTTACATGCAATGTCACCCTGCTGGCCTGGATCCACCAGTAGGGTCAGGTGACCTACCATTTCTTTATTAATATTCAAAAAAAAAAAAAATAGATCATGGCATCCGAGCTGTGACGAAAAATAAGTGACCTAAATCCGATGAGAAAACTGGATTTGGGGGTACCCTAAGTTTGGCCTCTGAGCCTCTGGTCCCCCAGTGAAAATTTCTTAGAGGAGGCCCTGGCGTGGTTCGTAAATTACCGCTTCCGCAATTGGAGGCCCCTAATTACTTGGAGGCCCCCACTAAATGGAGGCCCCCTTGGACGTTTGGGACCCCAACGGTGATGTCAAAGTTTCACCCATGGGCTGCGGCTAGATATTGACCCGAGGAATCGATTACGACCCTTATTTTGGCGATCAGACGAACCCTTGAGGCACTTTTGACGCGCCCCTTCCTTTAAGGGCCGATTAAGGGGTAAAGGGTAAGTTGCACACATCTGGAACCCGAGGCTGCGGCTAGATATTGACCGGGGGAATCGATTGCGACGCTTATTTTGGCGATCAGACGAACCCTTGAGGCACTTTTGACGCGCCCCTTCCTTTAAGGGCCGATTAAGGGGTAAGGGGTAAGTTGCACACATCTGGAACCCGAGGCTGCGGCTAGAAATTGACCCGAGGAATCGATTGCGACCCTTATTTTGGCGATCAGACGAACCCTTGAGGCACTTTTGACGCGCCCCTTCCTTTAAGGGCCGATTAAGGGGTAAGGGGTAAGAGCCAGGGCCAAATAAAGGTCATATTCTTGCTCCCCGTCCCCCAAATGACCTTATATGAGTTTTTTAAGCGATTCTGAATCCGACGCTGTATTCGTTGCTGTTGCTGACGCTAACTTCACGGACATCGAGAAGTCGGGGTACCGGAGCACCGGACTCTCGCATAAATACCGTTTCAGCGCCTCGAAAAACTCCCTACACTCCTCGGTGAATACCTACATAGGGCACGTTCTTCTCCAGTAATTTCAGTAAGGGTCGTGAGAGGGCCGCAAAACCCGGTACGAAGCGCTTGTAGAAGCTGGCCAAGCCTACGAAAGCGCTTAGCTCTGTCTTATTGGCCGGCTCTGCTATTTGGGCGATTGCCTGTGTTTTGCTGTCATCGACACTAATGCCCTGGGGGAAATGACATGACCCAACACTTTCACTGACCGACAGAGAAGCGTGGTCTTACTCGGTTTGTACTTCACCCCGTGCTTCTGAGCCAGCTGGAACGTGTCCTCCTCCAGCGTCTCCAGGTGCTCAGTTTCGGTCGTGGTGGAGCAGATCAGAATTCAGATCATCAAGATAGCAGGCCACCTTTCCCGTGGCCAGCACTGGAGCGTACAGTCTGTCTTAAAAGTACCGCGCAAAGTGACGTTGGATCCATCAAGCCTGACCGAGGAAGGACTGCTGAATTTGAGTCACCCCCCCCCCCCGAGCGCCTTCGGCGCGCATGGCCCCCATGGCCCCCTTGGGTACGTCAATGCTTTTTGAGATCAACAAAGGTACTCAACTTACAGGCCAGTGCCACCATTTCTGGTGAACTTTTAAACAATGAATCGATTGACGACATTTTCATCTTGATCAGATGTTGGCTGTGGATTAGCGTAGTGCGTATTGTTATGAGCGTATCACTGAACTCTATGCTCGGGGTTACATGAGCAGAGTTAATACGCATTACAAACGGACTACAATGGTGAGCGAATAGGAAAATCCGTTCCTGATACGCATTTACTTGCTCATGTAACCCCGGTATATAATTACCGGGGTTACATGAGCGATCCGTTCCAAATACGCACTACACTAATGCGCATCAGCTCCCCACAAACGTATCTACGGCACCGGTTACATGAGACTAATTCGTTTTATCTACGTCAAACGGATCTTGTTTGGCTCACCCGGACTGACTCCTCGACGGCCGGTAATTCGCATCGCAAACGGAATAGGATTAGCGTACAGTCATGGCGCAGTTGCGGCATTTACCGGGACGACTGAACTAAATTTTAAATACTTTTATCATTTGATAGGCTCAAAAACATTTAAAATTAACATGAAATCAAAAAATGAAAACAAAGTTTTCTTGTTTTAAGTCAGTGGGCACTGATTCGCCATGCAGCGACAGCAGGGTGGTCAGAAAAAATTATCTATCAAAATATTTCATTCATTTTATTTCACATGCAAAGACTAAACCAAAATACCAACATTTTTTTGCTATTTTCTACGAGGCAGCCAATAATAAAATGCTTAGTATTTTGCATTTTGACGCTTCCAGTCAGCAAAGAATAGTTCTTGTGAAATACGGCCCGAATCGTGTGCCTCAGGCCTGGTGGTTACATGAGCGATCCGTTCCCAAATACGCACTACACTAATTCGCATCAGCTCCCCAAGAACGCATTCGGTGCACCGACTACATGAGCAAATTCGTATCAGTGACGTCAAACGGATCACGGATCACATAACGGATCGGCAACTCCCCCCCGCGACCTGTCTCCCCTGCCATCTGGTGGGCATTTAGTGAATTATCTTCACTAAGGACGCGGCAGGCCCGGTGTGTGGTGAGGGTGCCGTGTCGGAGCCTATTAAGCGGGTTTTCTGCGGAAATCAGTATCTCAGCTAGTTCAGAAGATATCTGTGATTTAGATGAGACCGGCAAGAATCGTCAGGGACAGGTACTGTGTCCGAGATTATATCGTGAGTCATGAAAATCGCTGTTAGAGTGCGCTCGTGGGTGACCTGGCGTCCCTGGCGAACTTGACAACTTTCCGATCGTTTTCGTTGCTTATATGTGTTGTATGATATATTTATGATTCTTTTATTCATTCAACGACTAAATGGAACCTGTATCTTCCACAAATAAACTTGGGTAGGGTATAACGGTGAAATGTGAGTATGCGTCAGATTCGCCTCACACTTTGCCTATGTTAAAGCTTTGGTTGAACACACGAACGTATAAATAAACGTTTTGTTGTATATTTAAACGTTGAGAATTACACAAAAATTGAAATATATAATAAAATAAAAATACATAATTGTAAAAGTATATTTAAATTATTGTCACGATCATTAAATTATACGACTATTGTTGAACTAGTCGCCTGGACCCTGGCCTGTGCTGAGTCTGAAATCTGAATTTCATAATGTGTAGTAAAATGTGAATGTTTTTACTTTTCATGTTGTTTTACATATTTTCGTTATCACACCTCATTTGAATCTTTGAATTTATAGCTTGTATCCTATTGCCGTTTAAATTCATTCCGCTCACAATCTGAACCCGTGTTTAGCTTTCATTTTCACCAACTGTTATTCAGAGGCAGAGGCAAGCTTTGCATAATGCAGAGTTCCTTTTATTAGAGAATTTATGTTATTCAGCAGTCAATTCAGCTAATTATATTGTCAATTATATATCAATATTGACATAAAACTTTCCTCGTTTTCTTGCGTAACCCCAGCTCTCTTACAAAATGTGCATCAGATTTTCCATTTGACTGATCATCATCTTTTCTGCAGGACTTGAACCATGAAAAGAAAAGACAGCAGCCTCTGGTGTGGAGCAATCAACTGCAACGCCTCCAAAGCAAAATGCCCTGAGCTGAGCTTTTTTAGATTCCCTCCGCAGCCTGAGAGGTAAGGGATTTCTCCTATTTTTACCTATCCATATTCTCCACCATATTATGCAATTATAAACCACACTTCTTGAATATATATAATTATTTTTAGTCATCTTTTATACCATGTAAACAATAGGCACTTATCAAGTAAGCATGTACGCATGTTGTAAGCATGTTGAAGGCAGTACTCTGTACTCCGATCAAGTTCTCTGTTGAACATTCATTGGGTCATTACTTAGTAACCCGATCTTTGTTAACTTATTATTTTCCAGCTCTGCATGATTTCATTTAAACAATAGGCATTTTTGTTGCCCTGGACAGCAGCTGTGATCTTGTTTGTTCTGATGCATCTCAGTTCTAATGTGAATCAGTGTATACCTTTGTTGTTTTTAAACAAAAGGATGCTAAGCAAGGCACTTCCCGAAGGTTATGCACCCATTTGTGTATGTATGACAAGCGATAATAACAAAATTTGTGTTCTGTTCCAGATCAAAAAAGTGGGTCCAGATGTGCAGGCGCCAGGATCTCCTGGGGAAATCTACAGAGTATTTATGTGAAAACGTGAAACTGTGCTCCAAGCACTTTGAGGACTCTCAGTTCTACCCAAACAACAGGAAGAGGCTGAAGATGGATAGCGTGCCAACTGTTTTTGATGTGCCAAATCCTCCCAAGACAGTAACAACTCGGCGCCCCCTTGTCATGCGACAGGAGCATCAGCAATCAGGATCGTCCCAGGGTGAGTCATTGAACTGCATTTTATTTTCATGAGTTTGGGAACTCCTTTCAGGCCTATGTGGCTTGAGGTCAGGTCACCAGGTCATGCCATGTGTCCTAGCTTAAAAAGGCTTTAATGCTCATCATAGCTATGCTGACTAGCTGATTGTTTGCGAAATATTAGTAAGTAGTGGCAACTGACAGGCAAGCTTATAGTTTTTTGAAGAAATATTCTCAGATTTATAGGGCATAGAAAGAATACAAGCACTTAGCACACACATGAATGCATTCTTGGGTGTGCTTGTATTGTTTCTATTTCTGAAAGGGGTGGTGGAAAAGTCCCTGACGAAACGCGTCCACCCGATTGTATTGTATCCGTTTCACAATATATACTTGTCTTTTACTACTGATCTGTGAATAAACGGTACTGAATGTGCTGAGCGTTCAATCATGTGCATTGTTGATCCAATAACAAGCCAGGGCCATTGGATGAGAGGTGAGAGCTAGTGGGGAGGGCCGTCGTGGCTCAACTCGTCCCGGAGAAAACCAGCGGCACTACGCCCCCACCCGTCGTCATTAGGGTTGGGTGTTTCGGTCCCATGGAAATATAAGCAAACTTTACATTGTTGCTTGCTTTTTAATGGAAACGAAGCGTCAATCGTTGGTAGCTGCTAGAGGGCGTGCCGGGAAACGTGGCCCGAGAGCCGCCGAGCAACGTTAAGCCAGCTCGTTGGATTTTCTCCAATGTGAGCTGCTCCAACTGGTTGCTGGTGAGTCGGTGACCGTCTAGATAGTAGATAGGAACAGGGGATGAGCGCGTACTGGGTATGGGCAGACGGATGAGGCAAAGGTCTGAATGCACGGCCCGAAATAATCGCACTAGTTGCGGGGGAGTGCTGCCACTAACACGATACCTAACCATTACATACTATGATTAGTTCCATATTCCTGCATGATACCGATGAAGTAATGAAGTATTTTAACAAAGTAAGAAGTAAGTTAACGCTATCATAAAATTCCAGCTCTCCAAGACACGGTAATTTAATCGTCGGGACCCGTTTCCCCCCGCTCGTTTACACTGGGTTCGGCGGGCGGCCGGCTTTCCTCCTTAGTGAAGATATCCGCGCCGCTAGATGGCAGCACACTCGGCGGGTACACCGAGAACAATGGAAAACGGGGAGAGTTGCCGATCCGTTATGTCATCCGTGAACGGATCTAGTTTGGCTCTCGGCCCGATGCGCATTACAAACGAAATAGCATACAAATGTGGCGCACTTCCGTAGCAATAGAGGTGATTGAATTAAAAACTTAATATCTTATGTCTTTTTTGCATTTAATCTGCTCAAAACATTCTCAATTAACTTAACAAAAAAAAGTTAAACATAAAGTTGTCTTGCTTTGACTCATTGAGCACTTGCCTCTCTTGATTCGTCTGTAGTGCTGTCAGAAAAATGTTTCAACTGAAAGTACTTTGATATTTTCTTTTTGGTTTGCACTATATTTATTGACAAAATACCGACATATTTTTTTAATAATTATTTCAAAAGAAGCAAATGAAAAAAATATCTATTATTTTGCATTTTAATGTTTCTTTTTGGAAAGAAATAGTTCCTGTAATACGTATCTTGGTCCTATTCGCTTCTAAGCCTCTTTCTCAGCGGATTTTGTTTGGACCGCCGATTCGTATTAGCAGGTGGATACATGAGTCGGTAGTACGCTCCTGATTCGCATTAGCGGTGAATCCGATCGTGATACGTATTTGCTTTGCTCATGTAACCGCGGATCGGATCGCCAATTCGTACTAGCAGGTGGCTACATGAGTCGGTAATGCGTTCCTAATGGGGATGTTCGCGCTAAGAGTTCCGAAAAGTCTCGCCAGGTGGCAGCACGGTATGCTTTGGACACAACGCGCCGGCCGGGCGCCGGCCGGGCCGGGGATAACTCTGCGGGCGGCGACGGCGGCCGACGCGCCGCGAACGGAAACTGCGTTTCATGTCTTTTCAGGTTCATCATTTTGCTAAAATGAGTAGCTACAGTTGATTTCGATATTAGGAAGACAATGACGCGTGTGAAAGGCAAACTACTACATCGTCATTGAGCGGAAGGAAAGGGAGCTGATCGAATGGTCACCAAAAGCTACGGAGTACGAAAGATACGATGTTATCACATATTTTAACTTACACAGTTGAAATTAAAAACATTATTACATTCAGACATATATTCACACGCATGAAACAATCGATTTACAGCACACATTCCATGACAAGAACGCATACCTACGGTCTTAAGTTGACCTCTAGCGCTCGTCACTGTCAGATAAGTCAATCACATCCCTGTAGTTTGTACAAACTATTGACTTAACCCTTCATCCGGCATGCGTTCATTCTGTAATGATGGGCAACGAATCACCGGCGATTTCTGCGTGGCTCTATATGACATCCTCGTCCGTTCCCCAGGTCAATTGGTTCGGTGACTTTCAAATTATAGCAGGCCCTTCCTCGGTCAGGCTTGATGGATCCACCGTCACTTTGCGCGGTACTTTTAAGACAGACTGTACCTTCTACCAACACGACTGACTGATTACAATCTGATGCGAAAGGGACAATATCTCGTCGGTCTATCAGTTAAAGTTTAATATTCAGCGATACAAGTGTAAAGGCTGCCTGGAAAACTTGCAACAAACTAAGTAAACTAAGCTTGGCTTGTAATGGGCACAAACTTGTAATTAAGAGGTACTTAATTAACAAATCCACAATGTTCTGTTCAGGCAAGTAGCCTTCACATATGAAGCATTGCTATGACTACTCTTCTAGAGCTGATTGATAGCTTTTGAAGGAAGGAGCTGAGTGGCTGAGCCCTATCATTCACCACTTATCACCTTCAACAATTGCTTAAGGCATGCAGTTCTCTATCACTAGAAAATATCTGACAATTTGCTGGCTCTCATTTGTGTATGATGCAACACGCCTTGCATCAGTGATACTATGACACGAAATGTTGAACACTAGCATAGGTTGCAATGTAGATCCAAGGTGTCCCAGAAGCCAGAGCAAAAATTGACACCTTAATCAACTTCATGATTGTGGCAAAACTCTACTCCTTGACTACACAGAGCACCAACTGTTTGCTCCTCTAAACTTTCACCAAAGGAAGTGTTGCTGATGTCATTTGTAGCAGCAGTGACACTGGAAACTTCAAATCACGGTAGCATCCATGCTCTTGAATCTGGATCTTATCAATGCAGCATTGCACCTGTGAATAAATGAAAAATGGCATAAGACAGTAGGGAAAGATCTTGGCAAGTCATAATGAGATGCATATGTTTAAAATGCATGGATAAAAGGACATTATATACTGAAGCAATTAGCAAAACATTGCAGTTTAAGCACAGTTGAAATCTGATATGATGAACTGGATACAGTGACATCATCAAGACCCATGAACTTTACACAAAGTATTCACAATTTTGAAATACACTTTTATTGCAGTTACCTATGCAAATATTCTAGGTGAAAATTTATTTTTAAAAACAGCAAAAAACTTGCCCGTATTTAGTTACTAAAAAGCTGAGTGAATATTCTAAAATAGTGTTCACTTCAGTGTGAATCAAAACTTAGAGTTAATAATTATTTACCTGATGAAATGAAGATATTATATCAATAATGAGTAGCTTTAGGTGGTGATGAGTTAAAAAACATTTCGCAAGAAAGGCTATCAGATACTTCTGGATGACATACTGCAGTGCACAAGCTGTTCACCAACTCCTTCCTACCTGGTCTTTCAGTGGGATCCCTCTGTATGCACCTCAGAACTTCACCCGCAGGGCTGGTTCCTTCATATGCAGGTCGTCCGCCTTCCTTGATTCCTCGGACTCCATCCTGACAACTCCGCACCAGACGCATGATTGCGCTGGGCACCTGTAGGCTGTAACACCATGTAGGGTGATCAATACTTGTAACAATTCATAAATAGTAGGTAGCTTAGTGTTCTATTACATATACCTCCTGGTTGCTGGTTAAAAATAAATCCTATTTGTCTTTTTCCATCATAACCTTTATCTGCATGCAATATCTTTGGTACCAGACAAAGTAGAACACTGCTAAAATGCTTGCAATGAATCTTATAAAAATGCAGTAAATTTATATAATCATTCTCAGCAGCATATATCATCTTTTAATGCCTTTCTCAAAGGGCAGGTCGATTTCCTATATTGATATGCCCATAAACTTATACAGGTAAATTACTTCATATGGACAATACAAGATCCAGCTATGAGTTAGGTTATACTATTTTATACTCTTAGTTATGCTCGCCATAAAAAAAATGTCGGGAAACGTGTTACATCGATGGAATTACCGTTTGGAGTCGGTCTATCTTCGGCTTCTCGCCTCCCTTCGGCTCCGTCAATTGAAGCCTTTCTAAGTCTCCTGTCCTTTGTAAACCTGCCTTTCCATGTTTGTGACACTTGCTGAATATAAATTCACAACCCATCTGAGCAAAATTCAAATCAATTGCTGTCAAATTCACCGAAATTCAGTCCCTCGGACCGACACCGCACGTACTCCACACAGTGCAAAACACAGTGGCGCATTCGCCGCCACAGTTTCTGTGTCCAAAGAAGGCAGTGCTGCCACCTGGTGAGGAAATAAGCCGAACATCCCCATTCGAATTAGCGGCTAAATACGTATTTACTGTGCTCATGTAACCCCGATAAATGTGGAATGCGCATCGGCCGCCAGATGGTGTCCAACGGTGCCGCCATGTTGCGCAGACCAGGAAGCGGCCGCCGCCTGTGTTGGGGAATAGGGAATTAGGGACCTCGATTTACGTTTGCGGTCGCTGCATCCGTTACGTTCAAGCTATTTGGACACGGAACCCGGTATCTTACGCAGAATTGAGTGGAGAACAAGATGGAATCCTTAAAAATCCTCAGGTACAAGGAACTAATACGTTAAACCCTTATAAGTCAATGGGGAAATATGAAAATTGCTATTTTGGCACCGAGAATGATCTGAAACTATCTCAAGCATATAGAATCATGATTTCATGCACTCCTTGCAAGGTTCCATGCGTCATATTTGCATTGTTGCCCTTGCGTGACGTCATGTGTGACGTCACAAGGGTCGCAATTTTTCTTCAATAACTCCCGATCAAATTGAGCTAGCGAGTCGGAAAGGCCACCAATGGACTCAGGAAGACCTGCCAAATCGAATGATATGCGACATGACCTCTTTCGACCAACTTTGTGACCTGGGGGCGCTGACCTGACCTTGACCTGAGGTCAACACCCTAAGTTGACCTGACCCGAACAAAAAGTATATCACTCGATGCGCCTGAGCTAGCTGAACACGATGACACCAAAATCGCGGCTCTACGGCCATTTTTGGCGAAGTTATTTACCAAAAACCGAACCCGTGCCCTAGATCACTTGACCTGACCTCAGAGGTCACTGGTTGACCTGAGACCTTTACAGCGGGTTCCTACCACTCATTCTGCATTATACTTTGCCGCATACGACCACTTTACCGCTTAATTCTAGTTTAATTAGCGGCGCATTAGCGAGGTGGGTTCAATCAACCCCCTCGGCCGGGGCAAATGTAGGTCCGGCGAGTGAATTTGAGGAATTCTGAAGATACGATCGTGTTCCCCACTCAATTCTGCGTAAGATGCCGGGTTCTGTATCTACGTAACTTGAGCGTAACGGATGCGGCGGTCGCAAACGTAAATCGAGGTCCCGAATTCCCTATTCCTCAACACAGGCGGCAGCCGGTTCCTGGTCTGCGCAATATGGCCGCCACCGTTAGTCACTACGGCCAATAGGGTTGAAGCGGCATTGCTCCCCTGTGGAGCGTATCCTTTACCGGGGTTACATGAGCGATCCGTTCCAAATACGCACTACGCTAATGCGCATCAGCTCCCTACAAACGCATCTACGGCACCGGTTACATGAGACTAATTCGTTTTATCTACGTCAAACGGATCTTGTTTGGCTCACCCGGGCTGACTCCTCGACGGCCGGTAATTCGCATCACAAACGGAATAGGATTAGCGTACAGTCATGGCGCAGTTGCGGCATTTACAGGGACGACCGAACTAAATTTTTATTATTGCACGATATAACATCATTTGATATGCTCAAAAACATTAAAAATAAACATGAAATCAAAAATTGAAAACAAAGTTTTCGTGTTTTAAATCACTGAGCACTGATTAGCCATGCAGCGACAGCAGGGTGGTCAGAATAAATTTATCCATCAAAATATTTCATTCATTTAATTTTTGCTATTTACCGAATTCACCTTCAAAGACTAAACAAAAATATCAACAATTTTTTTTTTGCTATTTTCTACGAAGCATTCAATAAAAAATGCTTATTATTTTGCATTTTGACGCTTCCATTCAGCAAAGAATAGTTCTTGTGAAATACGTCCAGTTCCGGTCCGAGTCGTACAAATCGGCTACATGAGCGATCCGTTCCAAATACGTACTACGCTAATTCGCATCAGCTCCCCTAGAACTTATTCACGGCACCGACTACATGAGCAAATTCGTTTTAGTGACGTCAAACGGATCTAGTTTGGCTCTCGGCCCGATGCGCATTACAAACGGAATAGCATACAAATGTGGCGCATTTCCGTAGCAATAGAGGTGACTGAATTAAAAATTTATTCTCTTATGTCTTTTTTGCATTTAATCTGCTCAGATCATTCTCAATTAACTTAACAAAAAAAAGTTGAACATAAAGTTGTCTTGCTTTGACTCATTGGGCACTTGCCTCTCTTGATTCGTCTGTAGTGCTGTCAGAAAAATGTTTCAACTGAAAGTACTTAGATTTTTACTTTTTGGTTTTCACGATATTTATTTTTGAAAACTTGACAAAATACCAACATAATTTTTTAATAATTATTTCAAAAGAAGAAAATGAAAAATGTACCTATAATTTTGCATTTTAATGTTTCTTTTTGGGAAGAAATAGTTCCTGTAATACGTATCTTGGTCCTATTCGCTCCTAAGCCTGTTTCTCAGCGGATTTTGTTCGGACCGCCGATTCGTATTAGCAGGTGGATACATGAGTCGGTAGTACGCTCCTGATTCGCATTAGCGGTGAATCCGATCGTGATACGTATTTGCTTTGCTCATGTAACCGCGGATCGGATCGCCGATTCGTACTAGCAGGTGGCTACATGAGTCGGTAATGCGTTCCTAATTCGAATTAGCGGCTAAATACGTATTTACTGTGCTCATGTAACCCCGATCTATGACGGGCGGCATCAAGGGCGGCATTTTCGTATTTTCTGACGAATTGGAGGGATATTGTGGTCGCGTTCCGCATTATTCAAGTCACGTCCCTATAGTTGAAATGGAGCAGAAATAGATCCCAGGACCTCAAGGAATCTTCAACACATTCTAGGTAAGTCGTTTTTTTTTTTACTCCAGAGGTTTGTATGCCCACCGATGTGTGGGACGACGGTGAAAACAGGGCGCCTGGGGCGGTTTAATCAAGGTTCGTGAAATTCACACGTGATGTTTTACATGTAGAAGGCCCATGAAGGGGGAGAACTTCCAAATGTCACGTGACTAATATGCCCTCCGGCGCCCTGTTTTCACCGGCGTCCGATGTGGGACGACGGTGAAAACAGGGCGCCTGGGGCGGTTTAATCAAGGTTCGTGAAATTCACACGTGATGTTTTACATGTAGAAGGCCCATGAAGGGGGAGAACTTCCAAATGTCACGTGACTAATATGCCCTCCGGCGCCCTGTTTTCACCGGCGTCCGATGTGTGGAAAGTTCAATTGTACATTTGTGGCGCACATAGCTATTTTTGCTCACTCACTGAAATAGTGATTTTAAAAAAAAGCCCAAGGAGCAGGTGGATTTTGGGTGTGTTATCGTGGTGGATTATATTTGGGATTAGGTTTGGGACAGGTGGGATTTTTGAAATTTCTTCAAGATACACATATAGGGCCCTAACGTGGGTATTCGGCACTGCGCTGCTTTGCCGCAAGAACTATTACGGCGTCATTATTCATAGTTGAATAGCAACTGTTAGATATCATCCTTGATTTACTCGACCTTGGCCAGCTTTGCGCAAGTAATTGCCGCCAGTGTTGCCAGGTCTAGAGGTAAACCTCCAGATCTAGAGGTTTTAGGGGAGCGTTTCGGGGCTCCTGGAGGTTTTTGAAAAATGCCGGATTCTAGAGGGTTTTCTAGAGGTAATCTGAAAATTCGAGAAAAGACAATTAGCATCAAGGTCTCTTGAGAACTATTTAGGTACTTAATTTCATGTTATTATCTTTAAGTATTGCATGCTTAAACACACTTTTTTACAGATTGATGGAAACGATAAGCCTACTTTTGGCTTGTTCACTATTGAGGCTCGATCTGGCCGCCGGCTGCAGCTAAAAGTTCTCGATATACCTACCGTGGGCACCAAGGCTATGTAAACCTGAGGGGTGTTCACGGGCACCGCACACTGCTGCGTGCGGTGTGTGCGGTGCGTCCAGCAGGCGTGGGGGTAGGGGATGGGTAGGCGGCTCTGACGTCACGGCTGCGTGCGGTGGACGGTCCGCTGTGGCCAGTCCCGACCGGCTACAGCGATCGCTGTGTGCGGTGACGGAAGGCTGACGTAGGGACGAAGTGGGCGGAGCTTCGAGGCTGTGTGCGGTCCGACCGCACACAGGGCCCGTGAACAGCCCTCTGGTGCCCACGGTGGGCACCAAGTCCACCAAGTTATGTGGACAAGTGCGAAGGCATGCGAAGGATGAGTGAATTATCTTGATTGGGGATACAACCGGGTGTTTCCAAGCCCGCTGCCAGCTGCTGCCAGCGCGCTGACGTCACACTTTGGGTCTGTTCCAGTCGCACTTCCTAACACATCTAAACCCCTCCAAGGGCAAGATAGAGGAGGTTGGAGCAGCTCCTTTGATTTGTAGGGGCTAGAGCTGACACTGGAAGAGGGAAGCAATCTTGGAGGAGTTTAGAGGTGTTAGGAAGTGCGACTGGAACAGACCCTTTCGTAGTGTTGGAGCAATGGGCTTGATGATGTCATCTCGCGCTAGCAGCGGATGGCAGCGTGCTTTGAAACGGCACCACGGTTTGTGATACGAAGGTAGGTATGGAGGTATATATACTTTATAATCAGCGGCAATGGAACAGAGGTTTCTAGAGGTTTTTACAACATTTTCTGGAGGTATTGGCATCACTCGACCTGGCAACACTGATTGCCGCCCGGCACATTGCGCTAGTGTGGAGTGCGGTGGCGGTTTGCGGTAACTAAGTATTTCATAGGTGCTTTGATACTTGATTCCAGAATGAATAACTATCAGATATGAAATCAGGAGGTCAAAATACATCGTATAGTGTGCTTCTCATAATCAGTTCGCCACTCTGACCTAATACCCTTAAGGCCTGGCTACACTATGCGTTTTCTTCGTGCGTTTTTTGCGTGTTTGCTTGTTTTGCGTGATATCGTTCTAGAAAAAAGAACGATATTACGTTTTTGTGATGTTTTTCATCTTAAATTTTAGTTACATAAGAGTTATATTAGCTTTTGTATATAACCAAAGTAAAAATTATATTGTTTATAACTTTTTTCCTAGAACGATATGACGCAAAACACGCAAACCTGCAAAAACGCACGCAGAAAACGCATAGTGTAGCCAGGCCTTTAGGTGTTTAAAAATATTTCAGCTGGGTCTCAATCTTTTAGCGGGTCGGTAGTCACTCTCACCTGAAAACTTAACCAGTCATTGGAAAAAGTATTTGATGATGTGAAAAATATTATCCCCTAGCAAAGGAAATATGCCACGCTCATCAAATAAGTTTTTTTTTTTAGTTCTGTGATTTTGTATGCCTTAAATGATAAGAGAAAATGAATAATTCAAAGGAAATTTTAAAAATATTTTCAGTTAGGAAGAGCTATATTCTATCTTTGGTGGAGGCTAAAAAGTGTTTGCCATGGTCACTGAAGCTTATTGCACGCTGGCCAATCATATTGCATAGTTCATAACCAACTCCAGCTGCATGCTGGTTGGCTGAGTTTGGCCTCTGCAACAGGTGGCTGCATTCTTGGCATTCTTCTGCAAGTCACCACATTCCTGCACAAGGCATGTTTTACTTTTTAGAATGATGCATGGAATATCTTCCTAAGATGATCATTGGCCTGTAATAGCTCCTGATCTGTGCTAGTCTCAGCTCAAGCTACAAAACTGCTATTCCAGTTCGAAGCCCAGGTTTAGAGTGGTAAATTTCCTTAAACTTTGGTTACCTAATAGTTGGTCAGTATTTTCTCCATGTAAATACACAGCTATATTGAAAACTGAATGTCAGTTATGTACCCTCCACTTGACTTATGTAATGAATTTTGGGTAGGTAATGACCTTTTGATCATCACAGTTACCTGTTTATTTCTTGTGGAAGGTATTGAGTAGGCCAGGCGCCAGACATGCAGGGACATATCTAAAGGTCAAGGGAGTAAGACCCAGGAATATGTTTTACATCTTGCTCATTTGTTCTGAATGGTTTGCTTAGTTTTCCGGGTTGTCCTGGTTGTAATTGAACTAGAGTAGGTTCAAGCATAATCTGCAGTCAGTTTCTGAATTAGCCTTTCTGCTTGAAGATTTGCAAGCCTGTGTTGCTCATAATCTCAATCCCACATTTTAGCTCAGAGGCATGCAATATAAATGCACTTTTTAATGCACGATGTTGAAAAGAGTTTGGTCTTAACTTTACTTTACCTGAAATGTTTTATGTGGTCTGTGAATAAAGGTTGAGGTAATGGGTGAGCAAATCATGTATCTAAATGATGATCTACTAAATGGTCTAAATGAGATGTTTGTCTTCTTTTTTCAGATTCCTGAGCACAGAAATCATGGTTCTTGCAGCTGATGAGTTAACAAGTAAGTTTAGTTAATCATGCTTAAACAAATAGCAATATGAACGGATGAATCACAGAATCTCTGATCATTGTCCCTTCCAGAAACCCACTGCATCAATGTCGTAGACGGGGGTGATACGTTCCCCCGTTCTGGAACGCAGTTACAAATATTAGGAATGCAGGAATAGACTCGTTACATTTAAGAAAGCACAAGGAAGCTAGTAACTAACGATACATTAGTCAATTAGTTATTCGATCCCCCGATATAAATTAGTCCGTTATTCCTTTTTGTTAGTCTTTTTGGTTATCTGAGCGAATCAGCCCAGCACTTTACCGGCGCTCTGCTGAGGAGAGCGGGGGAGTGGGGTTGTTTGAACACCACCTTTAACCCGCGCCCCACTGGGGGGGGGGGGGAGCTATTGACAAGGTTCCTTTACTACTCAGGCTGGTTCACTAGGGAAATAAAGGCGCCGTGGTGACGTCATTAGAGGAAATCCTTCACGTTCAAATGAAGGGGTCATTTGAATTGCTGATTTTGGCTTGATATAGTACTATTTTTCAGTTTCAGCCCCATTTTTCGTAATAAGGCGAACTCATTGTTATATTGGTACAACTTTTGATGACACATAATCCTTGTTTTTTTTCTCCAGCTCGCTCGAAAGATGATGAAATTTGTATGCACGTCAGCACGTCTATGGGTGAAGGGAGATTCTGCCGCCGTGGTGACGTCACGGTAAAGGGATTCTGGAGCTCGTGATAGCCCCCTCCCGCTTTTCTGCAATAACTTCCAAACGGCTTGACGTATCGACGCCAAACTTTCAGTACCTTCGGCTGCAAAATATGAACTTCGTACTTCGTAGCTACCATAGGTCGGCCGGAAATGACGTCAGAGTGACGTCATGTTCGGCCGATTTCGACGCAAAACATTGAACCACGGCAATCCCCAAGAGCCTCAGTTTTTATGCTAGATCCAATATCTTTGCATGAGAGGACTCAGAATAGACTGCGCTATCAAACTGCTATCTCGGATTTTCAAAATTTTGAATGTTTTGAAAATTATAATTTATATATAATAAAATTCAAAATTTATATTTTTATATTTTTTTCCAAAACTTCTTGACTTTTCGAAAAAAACGGAATATATGTGATAGAACACATGCTTATGACTTACTCTAGCAAGTTTTAGCTAAATATCTTCAAAAATAGCCAAGTTATAAGCATTATTGCAAAAAAAAATCACAAATATAAATTTTTCAAATAAATTTTTTTTTCAGTACGTATTTGACATCGTACACCAATAAAAATAGCACCATCGTGTTCCTGAGCTAAAACTGCATCCAATAGACACCTTTTTTGTTGAAAAAATTGACTTCAAAATTTGACCTTTTTTGACCTGAAAGTGACCTGACCTAAGCTGAATCAAACTCAAAATGACCTCGAATGACACAAAGGACATGAAATTCCGAAATCTGTGGCCTAAATGGTATAGGTACCTAATATTTCCGTGACCTGTGATGACCTGACCCTGACCTGAAAATCGAAGTACAAGTTTGGTACCCTCAGGGTATCTAAAGCATCTGTTCACGAGTGTGTAAGCAAAAAATGAGCCTGATCTGACTTTTAAGACGGCAGCCAGAGCCCAAAATGTGAACAAGCCAAAATGCTAATAATTTTTACTTTGACCTGACCTGTGACGTCATCGGTGACGTCGAGGTCAATGAAATTAGGCTACGCTCGACAGTTTTCCGGGGCTATCAGACGCCGTTTGAATTTTAACGATCGGCCCAGTAGTTTCGGAGTTAGAAGGGGGGGGGGGCTATGAAGAGCCCCCCCCCCCCCCCCAGTAGGGCGCGTTATACGCAGACCCCAGTGGGGCGCGGGTTAACGTTCTTTTTTCGCGGCTATCTCAAAGACGGTGCTGCGTACCGCCGCCGTTTTTGGTACGTCTTACCATGCATCTTTTCTGTCCATACTGTAAGAGTTTTAGACCCAGCTCTTTAGAAGGCCAGGTTACATCAAATTACCTTACTTCAGAAAAAGTTACGATGTTGGTCATAGCTACATCGACTGAGCATTCGCTTTGAAATTCAAGCAATTAACAAGGCACGACAATATGTGTATAAAACGGAAAACCTATACCCACCTCGGAATTTTAAAATCGCTGACCTATGGTTCTGTCATTTTTGCGACTGTTCCATTATACGCAAGTCAAAGGAAGAAAAAAGAACTGTGTTTCTTTTAGACGAAAGTCATACTATACACTCAACATCGAATAACAGCTAAGCCTGATGAATTGAATTGGAAAATTGAACCCTTGGCCTCTCTTTACGCGCCTGGGGTCATCTCGGGCATGAAAGGTCTCCAGTACGTTTTCAAAAATAACTTTTGATAGAGGCGTGCTAAAGCGATAACAACTCATTGGATGTGTTCAGCTGGGGCATTCCACGATAGATCGTACCAGGCCCGTCACCCTCATATCTCAGATTTTAATGAAAATCGGTCCTAGGGGTAATCATAGGCCCGAAAGACGCCTGGCAAAATATCAGACTTCTCAGATCAAAACTTTTTGAGTTATATTGCATTGCATTTTTTTAACTTTGGTTTGTAACAGTGAGTTTGATGACCTATAACTCAAGAGCGGGCTAAGCAACCAACAAACGGTAAAGAACATTAAGCTTGCGATGAATCAAAAATTAATATTACTTTTTAAAAATTCCAAAGAAAAATTTTCAATGTTGAACAAAACCTTAATCCTTTTTCATTGGCTCTAATGACTTTTGGGACCAAAATTTTTCACATTTTTATTTTTTTTCCAAACTAAACTTCATGTCATTGCAAATCGACATGCAAAAAATTAGAAAGGTGTTCTTTCTTTAAGTTCCTCATTTTCCCGCAAACAAAATGGGTTTCGGAGGGGTTGATACGACCCCAGCACGCCGTTTCGCTTCTAATAGAGCTAGAGCCTCGCGGAAAAAAACGAGCGTGTGTGCCGTTACAAGTCGCAGCGATTGGTACCGTAAACGGGGGTGACTTTGCCATGTTTTCAACTTTAGACGCTTGTATTCTTTACGCTTCTTAACTTGTTGGGATGACTCTATGTTCAAAACACGGATGAAGATTAGCTCTTTTGGTTTTGCTATTATCGTATTTATATCTTGCCTAAAAATATAAATTTTGTAAGAAAATGAGTCGTGGCAAAGTTAAACTGAAAAAGGGGTGACTTTGCCACTATGTCAAAAAATGGTTTTTAACGCTTGCAAATAATTTTTAAGCATTTTTGTTCCATTGTATGGGGAAGGGCAACCATCTTTAATTGTTTAATTTGAAAAATGCAGCAATTCAAAGTTTCTTGCTCTTAAATGATGCACAAAAAAGGAGAGATACACTACTTTTATAATACATTATATTTGTTGAAAATTATTGACATTGATAGTAAATAGAAACTAAAATGAAACTGTAAATAGTAAATAGAACCTTTTTTGACCTGAAAGTGACCTGACCTAAGCTGAATCAAACTCAAAATGACCTCGAATGACACAAAGGACATGAAATTCCGAAATCTGTGGCCTAAATGAACCATAAAACATGTGTTACGTGACCGACGCATGATATACCTAATATTTCCGTGACCTGTGATGACCTGACCCTGACCTGAAAATCGAAGTACAAGTTTGGTACCATCAGGGTATCTAAAGCATCTGTTCACGAGTGTGTAAGCAAAAAATGAGCCTGATCTGACTTTTAAGACGGCAGCCAGAGCCCAAAATGTGAACAAGCCAAAATGCTAATAATTTTTACTTTGACCTGACCTGTGACGTCATCGGTGACCTCGAGGTCAATGAAATTAGGCTACGCTCGACAGTTTTTCCGGGGCTATCAGACGCCGTTTGAATTTTGACGATCGGCCCAGTAGTTTCGGAGTTAGAAGGGGGGGGGGGGGTCCGCGGCTGCAATGTTGCATTTTAATGTTTCATGTTTAGCTGTTACAACGGGCGCTTTTAAGGCTGAAACAGACTCTTTCCGCGTTCAGGAAATCGCATGCGAGAGCCTATTCAAATACATTGTAATTCTTCTCGCATCAATCGCTTGCGGGAGGTGCGTGCGATTGATGCGAGCGTGCTTCCATGTATTTGAATAGGCTCTTGCATGCGATTTCCTGACTGCGGAAAGAGTCTGTTTCAGGCTTTAGCTGCCCACTGATGGGTCAGTGATGGCCGATGGGCCAACTAAACCCACCAAACAGGCTGTCTCCGTTGGTTTAGTTGGCGGCTCGCTGTCTCGATGGGTTCGGTTGCCGGCTCGCTGTCTTTTTTTTTTAGCTAGTGTCTGTCGGTCTCAAAAGTGTATTAACTACTGACGATTTTGGTGTTAATTTCTTCTGTTGTAACGTAATAACGGACTAGGCTTCTTCAGCTACGTATTTTAGAGACAAATGGTTAGAGGAACCAGATACGAAAGTCTCAATTTAAGGAACGGGGGAACGAGTAAAAAAGCTGCAATTTTTAGAGATGGTGCCCATCTATGGGCACCATCCTATGGGTGTTGTGGGCACCATGCTATGGGTGTTGGCACCTATGGGTGTTGTGTGTGTGTGTTTGTGTGTGTGAAGTGTGTATGACAACCGCGCCAGCATTTTCAATTTAGTCGTCTCCTGTGTTCTATACTTGTATGACGAAAACATGTTATAGCCTCTTTTATAGAGGACATGTTTGATATGTTCAATAAATAAATAAATAAATAAATATGGTCGGCATAGCAGGGAACAGTATGTCGTATGTCGTTTTGTGTACAAGCTGAAACCTTGCCGTTGTTTGACTATTCCTGATAGTGTTGCATGCATTTGTGCTTCAATAATAGTTTTAGTTGCGAACGAGGAAGTGAGCGACTATATTTGTGGTTTGAGGGTATATCTTAGTTTGAGCGGCCCGGCTCCGTGACGTCAGCCATCACACTCACTATTTCCTCGTCACCAGAGCTTCGGCGTAAGAAGAAGGCAGCCCAAGCAAAGGGGAACTTGAAAGAGCAAGCAGATTATTGTAACAACATCGGAGTAATGCTTTTTAAAGCTGGCCGGCTAGACGAAGCTCTTGAGGAACACCAAGAGGAGCTGACGCTGTGTCAAACACTGCGCGACAGTATCGGTGAGTTGGAGGGGAACTTTTAAACTCTCCTTCAAGTGCCTTTGGTAGTGTACGCAGGACAGTCTTGCTGTTCTCGCTGCGTGTTTTTCTGTAGATTGTTTGTCGAGGGACGGGCGATTGCCGCCGCTGACGCCTGGAGCCCATTTTGGAACGAGCTGTTTGAGTCGATTTCTGATTAGTGGTATCGCTAGGTACTTGAAAGTTTGGCTACAAATATCTGTTCACACAAGGTCACCATTGTAAAATAGGTACCACTGGGGTCGTGTTGCACATGCGATTGCATTGTCTCAAGCCGTGTTTCCATTTTTTTTCCGAGACGAGGGCTCAGCCACTTCAGGGGCCTCATGGAACACTGTCTGTTCGCCCAGACGCCCCTCGTCGCTACCGGATTATTGCAAGATTCGAACAGACTAAGTGTCCATCCGATTTAGCTATCTCGTTGATTGATTCATAGACCTAGACTATCTATATTACTATTTGAGGAGGGTGCGTCTGTCCGTTACCGAGGTCCCGACTTGGTGGTGCTTTGCGTGGACTACAGGCCAGACCGTTGCATCTAGCCCGGTGAAATTTGCACAACTTATAGATCAAGGATGCGCGACGTGCCTTTGAGGGGTCTTAGCTCGATCGGATTGGTAGTGAGCGCGTGGCGCGTGCTCAAAAAGTGCAAATTCGCGTCATAGACTTTACATGTATAAATCGCCTTGCAAAATCGGGCGAAAATGGCCGAATTTGCCCGACATGGGTCCGATCCCCGTGCAATATCTCGGTAACCCTGGGCCCGATCGGCACGGGGAAAACAGCATCGTGTAGATAATTGAGCGGGCTGTCGAATGGTGTACGATGCAGAGGAAGGCACGTGCCACGTGCACCCGTTAGGGCACTTTTGTTGAAAAAATGCGGTTTTTGACGGATTTTGGAATTGATTTTATTTTTAGGTGACCGTTAAACAGAGCGAGTTGAAACAACGCCTGTGGGCAAGAGAAATGTACCGCCTCTCATGGGAAAATTGTGAATAGCTAATTGATCGACGCCAAGGTGGTACAAATCACGGGAGAAAATGGTGTGTGTCGATGATGTGCCACTTTATTATTCACACGGGTTTTGCTGTATAACCTGATACGTTTGGCAGTTGAAAATGGTACCGTTGGAAAGAGCATTCAATTCTGTCCAAGGCTCAATCTTCATTTTTACATTATAAGCAACAGTATTCTTAAAAAATGTAAATGTTCCAAACCATTACATTGTCATTTTCAGCGAAATTCATCGATGGCCCTCAAAAGACTTCACGCCAGTTTTCGAATCATTCTTAAGTAGAACGCATGATAATACGACAGGGGCACCTCGATGCGATGTATCTTTTTTGTTTTGGCCATCAAAAAGCATTCGAACGAAATGGATACCAACCAAATCGACACAGACCAACCCAATACCCACGGGTCACAAATAACCCTTCTTCGCGTTGCGGAGCACGCGGGTAACCCTAGTGTATACCATATATGTATACCTCGCACACATAGTATACCTCTGTATACATGGGCCTCTGAATAGACCTCGGTATACAATGGTCTATGGTTGATTTTGATACTGTCACGCGTGAGTCTGTGTCCAGGTGCGGGGGTGGCTCACCGTGGTCTGGGTGATGTGTTCTGCGAACTTGGCCAGCTGGACGAGGCGCTGCGACACCATCTGCTCTTTCTGGAGGCGGCCGAGCGACAGCGGGACCTAGTGGAGATTCAGCGAGCCACGGCCACCGTGGGCCGCACTTACCTCATGCAGGTAACGCATTGCCGCACCTACCTCCTGTAACACACAGTAAGTGGGCCTTACCTACCTCCTGCAGGTAACGCATTGTCGCACCCAGGGCAGAGTCGTCGCACCTATAGTTCGTTTTTTTTCAAAAGGATGCTGGCTCAAAGTTCAATATCGAAGCTCTCACGTGAGTTTTGGCAGCTTCAGTGTTTGGCCAAGAATTTTTTACCGAAAAATAGTCGATTTCAAATTGTACACGGTAAGTAGCTGGAAATTGTTTCTTAAAAATGAACATACTATGATGACGTCACTAGTGGCAGCAGGCACCCAAATGTCCGTGCAATGGGACAAGTGTCAACGAATTTGGGTGAAACCTCGTTTTTCACTGTTGCCGAGCTTATAATCGAGTAAGCGGTTCCGTCCATGATAGTTATACGTTACATTGCAATACATGTTCGACAGCATGACGTCACCACTATTCTCATATCTGGTTCCAAAACGCACATATGGAAATTATCGGGAAGAAATCACATGTTGAAATTAGTCGACGTTCGATTTTCTCAGGTTCAGTTTTTGCTCGTTTTGCTCGCTAAAACAGGTGCTTGTTCGAAAACCATACTTGGAGCCAGCGTCCTTTTGAAAAAAAAAAAAAACGAACTATATCTCCTGCAGGTAACACAACATGCACATTGCCGCACCTACTACCTGTAACACGGCGAGTGGCCGCACCTACCTCCTGCAGGTAACACAACATACACATCGTGCGTAACAATACAGGACGCGCCTTGCATACTTAACCCGCGCGGGGCTGGGGGGGGGGGGGGGGGGGAAATTTTACCCACCCTCGCGAATTTTTGCAATATCTCAGAAACGGCGGCGCTGCGCGCAAACTTTAAGTACCTTTTCTTACATCAATTTGACACGTTCCCTGAAAATTTGAGCGAAATCCGTCGGAAAATTTTTGAGACATTGACGTTTTAGTGACGTCATGTTCGCCATTTTCGCCTCAAAAACGGCAAAATTTCAAACGTCGCTATAGTTCGTTTTTCTTAAGTTCGACCCTCACTGTAAACATCTTTTTGGAAACAGCACGAGAATTGCTAGCTGAATTACTGAGAAAACTGGTTAGCGCACTTTATACTGGAGATATGAATTAGTATTTTCAAAATAAGTTTCTAACACCAATGATATACTGTTACGCTAAACGCCGTTGCGATTTATCAATTAAATTACTTATACTTTCTGACAATTGCTCGATCCTTGTGGGGCTGCAAATACCGAGCTGCGAGTCTGGGAAAAAGAAGCCAGGTAGAAATAATTTTGATACAATTGATCGTATGCGAAATCATTGTGCGCCAACGAGTTTTCTCAGTAATTCAGCTAGCAATTCTCGTGCTGTTTCCAAAAAGATGTTTACAGTGAGGGTCGAACTTAAGAAAAACGAACTATAACATCTTCATTTTTAACCCTCGCATGTGTAGGGGGGGGGGGGGGGGTCGGACGGACCTCCCCCCATGGTTTTTCGCGAATAACTCGCGTAAAATGCGGCCGATCGCGACGAAACTTTCAGTACCCTCGAATTGGTCAATTTTACACCTACTCTGAAAATTTCATGACCCTGACCCAAATGACCTTTGACCTGTGACCTCTTTTCCGAGACCATGTTTGGCCGGAATCGCGATTCCGCGTATGTCGGATCGCATTAGCCGCGCGTTTGCAAGCTTTTCGTGGTTTCAAACGTTCAAACATGTGATTTGCTGTTGCTCCCATGCATTAGGGTGGGTGTCAAGGTCACCTGAAGGTCAGGTCAGGTCATTGACCTTTGGTGACCTCGGGTGACCTCGGTTCACTTTTTTGAGTTTTACATGTTTCTAGGCTAGTTTTTGGAGCTGAATTCGAATTTAGCAACCATTTGAACATTTACGAAGTAGGGTAGGGTGGGGTAATTTGAACATGTGGGGCAATTTGAACATAGTGTGAAAAACACAAAATTACGGAAAATCCATAAGTGGCATGACAATAAGACCAATGAGGGAAATTATCGTAACTAAAAGGGCTATCATATGAACGGGGTTTAAAGTTTCAGGGAATGAAGGTGTTGACGCACACTGTAAAAAATCAATTTCGCAAGTAAAAACGCCTAAAAACACGTCATTGCAACTTCATTGCAGCGCAAAATGTTGCATTGCTAGCGCCTAATACGCAACGGCTTTTGTTGTACAATGACTTAATCAGTGCCTTCAATCCAAGAAATTGGCTTTTGAAACCTGTTTTTAAATATGGCAAAAAACTTTTAGCGTGGGGTAATTTGAACATAGTGTGAGAATTTCAATAAAGACATGGATAGCTCCGAAAAAAACAACGCTCCCAGTTTTTTTTTTGCCAATATTATGGACCCAAAGCAGTAACAGATTAGTGATGCCAGTTCTATAAAATTTACGTCTAATATCCGTCTAATGTCCGGCATTTTCGTTGATTTCCGTTCAAAAATGTTAAAGTCAGCCATTTGTCCAAATATGTCCGAAAATTACGCATTAATCAACACTCAAAACTGTCATTTAAATTGCTTTTAATGTAACTTTACCAGCCGAAAAGTGTTCATTATAATGAGAGCTTAACAAGCTTTCCATTCGCCAATCAATGCTATGCAAAATTGCTTTATAAAAAGCGCTGAAGTGTAGCAAGCCATCGTCCGATGTTGTCCAGTCTGCTACCTTTGTCCAACCAATTCCGAATTGGACATTGTACAAAATCAGAACTCCAAATGTCCAGGTTTCGATTGGCACCACTATAACAGATGCAGTAAGGTTGGGAGAGTTTTTATCGAACAAAAATGATAGACGTTCTGTTAATTGAAGAGAGGCGAATTCTGTCAACTGACCGGTGTGCAGCGTGCAGATATTGACACTCTGCAAGTGTTATTTTAGTTGTTGTGTTGATTTTTCAAGTGAAGGTATGTTTAGAATTGTTCTGACTATTTGTTTATGTGTCAAACAACATCGGTGCTGGCGAGACTATCATTTTTATGGTAGGCAAAGGCAGTATGTTCAAATTACCTCACGGTGGGGCAATTTGAACACACCGTGACTTGGTGGAGAAGTGAGGCTATGCTATTCAAGGTATGCTCGGCTCGTCTAAAAATGAGGCTTGCATGGTGAAAGCAAGTGACACTGTACTGAAGCAGTTTTTCTTCATCCGGGGTTGAGCTGGAATTTGGTACAACGGAGAAGACGTAAAAATATGTTCAAATTACCCCACACTACCCTAGTTTTGGTGCCTTCGTAACATGTTACGAAGCTGTCAGAGGCGGTGGACACGTACTACGAATACCCGTCACAACCCCTACCGGTTGACCTGACCTGACCTGACCCGACCTGGTCTAAATGCTTAAAGACATCATCTGTGATCAAAACTAACACGGTATTCGTGATCAGCACCCCGAAAAACCCCTTAGCAGCCACACTTTACGACTTTCTAATAGGTCCCGATTTTCCCGACTTCGGGTCATTGACCTGACCTGGAAGGTCAACCAATGACCTAGGACCTTAAAATTGGGTATCATCGGCTTCCTCTCGTCACGGGCAACACGCTCGTTTTTTCCGCGAAGCTCTAGCTCGATCAGGGGCCAAACGGCAAGGGGGGGGGTCCAACCGACCCCCCCCCCCTACACATTAGAAGCTGGCAAACGCCGCACACATGCGAGGGTTAAAGGAATCAAGATGTAACAAAAAAGGTTATACGTAATTCTACTTTGTCTACCAAATGGCTATCTCGTTTTTTTTTTGAAAATTTTGGATTTTGGCCCATATTTAAAAAAAAAACTGACTTTTTTGGGAAAAAATTATAAAATCCAAAATTTTGAGTGTATCGAAAAAACCGGAATATATGTCAGACAAGTGGTCCATGTGCACCTACATACCAATTTTTAGAAGAATGGGTTAAAAAATGTGGGAGTTATTCAAAATTTTTGACGTCACGACACACAAAAATTTTGAAAAAATGATTTTTTTGGACGTTCTAGACCTCGTACGGAAACAAAAATAGCACCATTCGACTCGCCGTGAAAAACTGCATCAGATAGACACCTTTTTAGGCCTTAACAACCAACTTCAAAATTTGACCTCACTTGACCTGACCTTGACCTGACCTCGACCTAAAATTCATCCAGAGGTGGTCCATATCACTTATTGAGTGTGCCTATTGAATTCTATGAGTAAAATGACCCATAAAACATGTGTCGCACATGCCCTTTTCTATACTTTGTTTTTGGTGACCTGACCTGACCTTGACCGTGACCTCTGAATGATATTGTATGCAACGAATATTGTCTTGGTAGCCTAAGAACACGTTTTGGGCAATCAGTCTCAGTCCATGACTCCATGCTTCGGCGACTACGGTGCAAGGCCGATACTGTAGAAACTTGCAATTTGTACGCTTGACCTGACCTTGACCTTGACCTCAAACTTTAAATTAAGTACATGTTTTTAGTTGTTCGTGCTGAGATCTTTCGATTGGCGTTTGAATTTTCCAAATCCGACCATTAGTTCGGGAGATAACAGGGGGGGGGGGATAAAATTTACCCCCCCCCCCCCCAGCCCCGCGCGGGTTTATAAATGCCTACGTTTGCTTTGGGCGCAGAGGTCTTTACTCCTAGAAGTATTTCTTCTACGTAATATTATGTACAGTTATTAGTTACATTTGATTTATAATTGATGCTTAGCTTCTTATCGCCATCCTAGGCCCTGGTGAAAGATTGTCTGAATGCGTGGTTTTCTTTCAACAGGCGGATAATACTTCATCAGGCGAAGAGTCCAAAAATGAGTATCGCAAACTCGCGAATAAGTTTTTGGAAAGGAGTCTTCAACTTGTGCCTAGGTGAGATCCCATCAACGTCTTTCACTCGTTCGTGCGCTCTTTCCATTTTCGGTAAACAATCACTGATTACTGGCATATTATAGCAGTATATCTATAGTTCGTTTTTCTTAAGTTTGCCCCTCACTGTAAACGTCTTTTTGAACACAGCACGAGAATTGCTAGCTGAATTACTGAGAAAACTGGTTGGCGCACATTGATTTCACCAGATTTCACAGACGATCAATTTTATCAAATTTGTTTACTATTTCACAGACTCATAGCTCGTATTTACCCATACCTATAGCTCCACAGTGATAGACAACTTCTCAGGAATTATGTCTGAACTAATTAATAAATTGCACGGCGTTTAACATTAACGTTACATCGTCGGTGTTCAAAACTTATTTTGAAAGTATTTTTCATATCTCCAATACAATGTGCGCCAACCAGTTTTCTCAGTAATTCAGCTAGCAATTCTCGTGCTGTGTTCAAAAAGACGTTTACAGTGAGGGGCAAACTTAAGAAAAACGAACTATAGTCTTGTCATGTAAAATCTGCTTTCGGCATTTAAAGGGACCCTCCCACCTTAACATTAGATTTGAGTTGAGATAGCCAAAGTGGGGTCCCTGGCTCACAATTACCGGTTTCGGCACTCACAACATCGAGAAATGCCTTAAATCGGAAATGTTGAATTTCAAAATTGCAGCATTTCGATTCAGAGGGGCTAATGCATAGGAATACCCCTCTGAATGTGTGACGTCAGCGCAGATATCTAACGATTTTTAAATCTTTTACTAAAACGTTTGGTAGCACGCGGTGGTATATGCTGCTTTGCGCGCAACAAATGCCGCATTTTCAAATAAAGTCGCTAGGCACAGCGGAGAACCCAATTTTCAAATAAAGTCGCTAGGCACAGCGGAGAACCCAAAAAGTAAACAAAAGTAAAAGTCTAATATCTTGAAAACCGGTGAATGTTTTTCGATGAAATTTGGTAGATATTCGTTTTCGCTCTTTCTGAACCGAGCGACATCACTTTCATGCCAATTCATTAACTTTTTTGAAGGTGGGAGGGTCCCTTTAAGAAAACACCGATTTGTGCGGGTTGTTTGAAATATATTTGAATTGCGGTGAATTCCTATTACATTGCGGTGGCGGTATTTTTCGTTTCTTTTCTTTTCATGTGAGTCCTGTATCTTTAAATGTTAAATATCCATTTGTCCTTCAATATTTGAAGATTCGTCACATTTGCGATATTTTCGATCAGTGAGTTAATTCGTTAGTACAAGACGTAAGTAAGCCGTCATCTGGACAATAAACCTGCAATAAGCGATTTTAGGCCGTATGACTGATACGTGCGCATTCATGGGCAGCGTTACGGGAATCTCCGAGCACGAAAGGGCGGAGATGACGGCTAGACTGCATTTGAACATGGGCATAGTCTGGGCTCAGTCCGGCGGACGCACAGACCAGGCCCGCGCCGCCTTTAGCAAGGTAGGACGAAAGGGTGGTTGTCAATCATGAATGGGCAGTGGTATAACTGCCTATTTACCCCGCTTATCATATGATGTAAAACCAGTAAAACGCCTTTTGGGGCGACCAACGGTCTGAACGGAGCGAGCGAGAGGGTGGACCCAAGATTACTTTACGGGCCTTGCACGTGCGAAATTGCGAGGGGATACCTTCAATCAGCTTGTGCACTGCACGGTTCACCCTACTAACCGGTTCCTAGCGATGTGCCAAATTTCAGTGCAATCGGTTCAGCCGTTCTCGAGATCTGGAATCGACTCCTGCACGTGTGCACGTGCAGCAGCACCCCAGCTGTGGCACATGGATATGCTTTGCCTAGTGGGTTCCTACCTACATGCCAACTTCCAGCTAAATCGGCCCAGTAGTTACCGAAATGTTGCAATTGTTACAAAACTTGACACCTCGTTTTGTAAGTGCCACGTGTAACACCCACATGCATCGGGAATAGTCCAATACATGGTAGAAGTAATGAAGCTACCCTACAAAAATTACTGCATGTAAATCGGTCAAGTGGTTGCTTAGATACAGGATACAAGCCTCGACCGGCCGCTCATACTCAGAAATTTCCGTTAATCTACGAAAGACTACGCTCGCTTCGCTCGCTCCGTAACGAAAGTGGCATAGCGCGTATGTAGGTATTCCTATTTTTTAATGTATCATCCTTCGCGGTTGTCACGTAAGGCAAATCATTTTCTGTTTATTACTCAGCGCACGTCTGTGCTCTGCTACATTCCCGCTAACCCGCGGGGTACCGGGCATGGCTACCCGAATTAGGCTACGCGTATCATTACATTTGTCGTGTGTGACAGGCGTTGGCGCTTACTGAGAGGCACGGCCTGCACGATACAGGCCGGCGCATCCACGTAAACCTGGCCCAGAGTTACCAGAACGCCGGCGACGTCCGCACTGCGCTGGGCCACCTGCGCATGGCGGTGCGACTCGCCGAAAAGTTGCAGGACAGAGCGACCGTGGCGGACGCCCTGCACAGCCTGGCCCAGGTATGCACCCTGTCTCGCATTTTTCTTGCATACGCGTATGATAATGGTACGTGTAACCCGTTCGACGTGATTTGCTTTTCGTTGTCAAATTAAATTTATTGAACATTCCCATTGGCGGCTCCTGAAGGAGTTGTGTGCGCTTTAGCGTATACCTGAGGTTCTTTACGAAAGTAAAGAATTATTGCTCAAATTGTCGGTAGTGATTTGTATGCATATTCCCCCTACAAAAGGATGTGGGACCGTCAGCTGTCATCTCAGTGACGTGTGATCCTTGCTCTTGTACGAGCCAACCATGTTATTGGACTTCGAGTCTGTTGATACAATGATCTCTCTGTCTCTGTCTCTGTCTCTGTCTGTCTCTGTCTCTGTCTGTTGTTTGTTGTTGTTTGTTTTGTTGGGTTAGGCCCTTTCGGTCTGACAAGACCATTGCAGAGCCGGAAGGATGATAGGAATTAGGGGGAGACATTGGTCTGGGCAGGCACCCTAGTGAGTCGCCGGGGCTGAGCCCGTCCAGAGGACAGGCCACCCAGCCCCAAGGCACTCACTGCACCCGGCTGCGGGGTGCGCTCCCTCGGGAGCAGCGGTGCCGCGCCAAGGGAGCAGCCCGCATGAGATGAAGTTGCCTGCCCAGCCCGGAAGGGGGTTGTGGCGTGGAGGAGAAGGATTTCAGTATCCTGAGGATAGAAGCACGGACAGGTGACTCTGTCTGTCTCTGTCTCTGTCTGTCTCTGTCTCTCTCTGTCTCTGTCTCTCTCTGTCTCTCTCTCTCTCTCTCTCTCTCTCTCTCTCTCTCTCTCTCTCTCTCTCTCTCTCTCTCTCTCTGTCTCTCTCTCTGTCTCTCTCTCTGTCTCTCTCTGTCTGTCTGTCTCTCTCTCTCTCTCTCTCTCTCTCTCTCTCTCTCTCTCTCTCTCTCTCTCTCTCTCTCTCTCCCTGTCTCTGTCTCTCTGTCTCTCTGTCTCTCTGTCTCTCTGTCTGTCTGTCTGTCTGTCTGTCTCTCTGTCTGTCTGTCTGTCTGTCTGTCTGTCTGTCTGTCTCTCTCTCTCTCTCTCTCTCTCTCTCTCTCTCTCTCTCTCTCTCTCTCTCTCTCTCTCTCCCTCTCTCTCTCTCTCTCTCTCTCTCTCTCTCTCTCTCTCTTTACAGGTGCACCTGTCTTTGGAAGAACTGGATGAAGCCTGCCGAACGTGGTACAAGGCCTACCGGCAGAGATCACCTCGAGACGCCGACCACAAACAGCACACCCGCTCCCTGCGCTACGGTAGGACTGTCCACCGGGGTGTCGACCGGCCACAGCGCTGTCCTCTTTGTCATCCTCAGGGCCCCGTCCCACCGACGGATGTGGTTATTTGGCTGTGGATGATGTTTGGTTGCCATGAACTGGCAGCCGTCACTAAACGTCAGAGCTGGGCAAGTGCGTTCCTTTAGTGCGTTCCTGCGTTCTTGCGTACGTACGCACCGCCTTTTTAGGAACGCAAGAACGCAGGAACGCACAGTTTTTCAAAGGAACGCAAGTAAGAGGAACGCACCACCCGAAATTTTGAAGCGTTCCTCATGGAGGGATGGAGTAATACCCTGATCACCAAGTCACCAAGACCCTCATGGACCAGTGGAAGAGGGCGATGGTGAACGTCCCCCTCAGCCACGACCTCTTCTCCAGCTTAGCTGCTGTGGAGAGGCTGTTTAGCTCAGCGGGAGCTGAGCACTACTTGCCAAATACAATACAGTACCTTTTTTGAATTGCGGAATAGTTCTTTTGATGCGCGCAGTCGTTTTTTGAGAAACGCAGTGTTTTTTTTGTGTCAAGTTATCGAGGGACGCACTACTATTTTGCGGTCCGCTTTAACCCGCTATTGACTGGGGGGGGGGGGGGGTTAACTCCCCACCCAAGCAGTTTTTGCGCTAGCAAAAAAAAAAAACGGTTGTTGTGCTCCCCAATTGTTGTCGCGGGCTATCCAATGGTACTTTATTTTTCTGTATCTCAAACGGGAGCTGAGTTAGCTGGGGCGGGGGGGGGGGGCGACCCCCCCCCTCCCCCGGTCAGTATTGTTTGGCTCTGGACCCCGGTCAATTTCGGATTAATAGTTTGGGACGCAGGAACGCAGGAACGCTAACGCACCGAGCGAAAAAAAAATTGAGGAACGCTATTCCAGGAACGCACTAACCGCGGCCGGAGGAACGCAGGAACGCTAACGCACTACCGAAAATCGAGGAACGCGCCCAGCCCTGCTAAACGTGTCATACGCAAACTCATTTTCGTAGGCTTATGGTAGTGCCATGCATCGATTGATTTATGTGAAAATCATTGACAATCATTGCGAGATATTTTCGTTACCTTTATTGACCGGAACACCGACAGCGCTGCGGCTCTGCCGGGCGGAGGGCGAGCTGGATGCCCTCTCGGAGGACGACTACCAGGCTCGCCGTGACCTGCACGAACACATGGCCGACAGCTTCTGCCAACTGAAGGCGTTCAGTCCGGCGCTGCGCCACTATGAGGCTCAGTTGGAGGTAAGGCAAGTACCGGTCAGTATTCCTAGTCGACAAGTCACTGTTACAATAGAATAGGTATTGCCCTTCTTCGGCAATGGGGACATTTCGGGTAAAGTTGCCGCTAACTGTTCCTCAGTGAGTTATTTGATCCGCTGCCGTTTATTGTGACTTTATATGGTTTGCTTTAGGCATAAATGAACGAACTTATCTGTTATGGCCGGGCAGTGATGTCATTTTACCCGCACAATTTTAGCATAAACACATGCTTGCGAAAAACTCTGCGACTTGCACGAAATACTGTCTTCTTTCAGTACGCCGAAAAACTCAACAGTCCTGAGTCTGCCAAGGCTGCAATATATGCCTCGCTAGCCCAGACTCACAAGGACCTTCACCAGTACGACCAGGCGAAACGCTGGTATGAGAAGGAGCTGGAGTCGCGGACAGGGAACGCCACTGAGGTGAGTTGATAGTGCGTGCTGTGATACTATTTGCAAATTGCACAGTGTGGTGCTCTTGAGTGTTGTCCCAAAGTTCATTGAAGAGTATGTGTTGAAGAGGAAGTGAGCTTACGCAATGGTTAGGTTACCGTGGCTTGTTTGCCTTAATATACTCCAATGGTCGGTTCTAGGACATGGGTAATGCCTGACATTAATTCATCAATTCTTTCGGGCAGATATGCAAGACTCTGATGAACCTGGCGAGTCTCGAGGAGGAGATGGGCGGCTCTGTCGGCTCCATCTGCGACTGGTACCGGCGGGCGGCCTCAGAGGCGGCTGTAGCCGGCCTGACGCGACTGCGCGCCTCTGCGCTGCGCGACCTGGCCGACACGTGCCGCGACCACGGTCTCACCGAGGACGAAGAGCGCGCCCGGCGAGACCTGGCGCTGGCGCTGCGGGCCGACAACCTGCACAGCTCCGAGGAGAGCGAGCGAGACGAGGAGCCCGGCAGCGAGGCGGAGAGCAGCGGCGCCGAGTCGCTCGACCAGGACATGCTGGACCTGCTCGTCTCTGAGACCGATCAACCGGAGCCACTGCAGCGGCAACGGCAGCGGCAGCGGCAGCGGCGCGGCGGCTCGCTCTGGCGCAACAACAAGGGCGAGACGCACCTGCACCTGGCCTGCATCCAGGGCAAGAGTCGTGAGGTGGAGCGTCTGCTGCGCTCCGGGCACCCGGTGAACGTACGCGACTTCTCCGGCTGGCTGCCGCTGCACGAGGCGGCCAACTTTGGTCACACGGCCATAGTGGCCCTCCTGCTGGAGCACGGCGCCCACGTTAACGACCCGGGCGGCCAGCACTGCGGCGGCGTGACCCCGCTGCACGACGCCGCCGGGAACGGGCACCTGGCAGTGGCCCGGCAGCTGCTGGCCGCCGGCGCCGACCCGGGAGCCGTCACTGAGGACGGGACCACGCCGCTCGAGTACCTGATGAACTACCGCGCTCAGAACCTGGCCGAGCTGGACGCCGAGCAACTGAATGATCTCAGAGTGCTGGAACATGAGATGAAGGAGATCCTGAGTTCGAAAGGGAAACCTATTCCGGACTCTCCTAGCTTACGTGTGTCACAGTCGGGCTCGTCTCAGTCGACGGAGTCACCGACTGTGGTGGAGGACAGCTCGGAAGTGACGCCGTCGCCGGCTGTGTCTGACGAGGACGATCAGCCGGCGGCGGACGTATACCGGCGGGCGATCCGCGGCGTGGGACGGTCGGCGGTGACGGCGCCAGCCACGGGCACCGTCCGGCGGCGGCAGCGTCCGTCCCCTGCCGGCCCCAAGCCCGGCCTGGTCTCCGAGGACCAGTACCAGTGGCTGGAGGAGGACGTGGCGACGGGCCGCCGCCGGCCGCGGCGTCGCCTCTCAGGGACCCTGGCGTCGGCCGGAACTCAGAGTGTGCGGCGCATCTCACCACCGCCGGACGAGGGCGTCCGTCCCATATCGCCTCTCCAAACCATAGACGACTATGACGAACCCCTGCAGCCGGATCAGCTTGGTTCGCCAGTCGGCACAGCCGCCGGAGAGAGCCAGCCGCCGCCACCGGAGCCGGATGCAGCTGTCAGGGACGGATTCTCAGCCGAACGCCGTCCTATGAAGCGTCGTCAGTCGCAGCTCACATTTACATTAACTCCGGGCGGCCGTGCGGACAGAGCGCCAAGTCCCGCTGTGTCTCCGTCTCCAGCGCCGCCGGCCAAGCAGCAGCGCGTGGCTTCTGAGGGCGCCGTTTGGTCGTCGGGCGCGCTGCGTGTGTGTGTGCAGGTGGAGCAGGACAGGCTGATGGTGCAGGTACCGGCGGCGGCGGCCGGCCGACCGCACACGGTCCAGTGGCTGGCAGAGCAGGCCTCCGACCGCTACTACAAACAGTTCCTGCTGCGGCCCCGGCTGGAGCTGCTGAAGGACGGCGCCCTGCTCGCCCCCGAGGACCCCGTGCAGGATGTGGTCGGCCGGCAGGAGGAGACACTCGGCAGCCGGGTGCTGGACTGGGAGCGGCCGCCGCTGACCGAGCGCTACAGCTCAGTCTGCGCCCAGCTGGGCCAGCCGCCACTGGCCACTGTCTCGGCGCGGCTGGCAGTGGGACAGACCAGCGGCCGACTCAATCTGGCTGAGCTGCGGCTCAACACGGCCCGTCTGCAGCCCGTCCTCCGCGCCATACAGCGCTACGGCTGCATCACACACCTCCTGCTGGCCGGTAACCCGCTGCGGGACGCCGGCGCGCGCGAGCTGGCCGCGGCGCTGCCGCACCTCTCCGCGCTGCACACGCTCGACCTGAGCGGCGTGCAGATCGGCGCCGGCGGCCTGTCGTACCTGGCGACCGCCGCCAGCGAGCAGCGGGCGCTGGAGCAGTGCACCACGCTGCAGCTCGCCTATAACCTGTTCTCGGACGTATCGTCCGCGAGCCACCTCGCCGCGCTGGTGTCCACCCTGCCGCGGCTGGCCAGCCTGGACCTGACCTCGTGTCAGCTGACGGAGCGACACCTGAGCGCCGCCGGCCGCGCGCTCTGTGACGCGCTGTCCGGCAGCCACCTGACCCACCTGCGGCTCTCTCACAACAGCGTGTCGCCAGAGGGCACCGAGCTGCTACTGCGCGCGCTGCGGCCGCAGTGGCTGCTCAGCCTGGCGCTGGCCGGCTGGCGCGGGGTGGCTGCCACCCTGCAGGGCTACACGCTCCGGGACGGCGACTGTTGTCTGCAGGAGCTGGACCTGCGCCACTGCCGACTGACAGACCAGGAGGCCGAGCAGCTGGCCAGGTGAGTGTCCTGACGAGCAGCAGTCTGAGTTGCTGGTCAGCCCCTAACTGTGCACGCCCCCCCCCCCTCCCAAACCCCTTATAACAAGCGGCCCGTAACAGCTGACGTGTAGTTGAGCTTCCAAACCGCTAGGTGGTTTTGTTTGTTGGCAATTTTTGAATGCGTAATCATGAAAAAACGTACTGAATTGGCATACCATCAGCATATTACGGACTAAATGTTCAAAGTTTTGCATTCATTGACAACTTTCACCGTGTATGTATGGTCATCTACATTCGCATTGCACTTGGTACTTACTACTTACTGTGTATATTGTATCACATACATCAGTGCGGTGTATGTCAGAAGAAGCCATCGTTATTCCTCCGGTGACGGTTGCGATGTGTTTCAGCGCGCTGTCGGGCTGCCGGCACCTGGTCCGTCTGGACCTATCTCACAACGGAGCGCTGGGCCGGCGCGGCCGGTCGGCGCTGGAGGCGGCCGGCTGTCCGCTGGTGGAGCCGGGCCGGGCCGGCTGACCGCCTGACGGCCAGAGCTGGGCCTCACCCGCCGCCACTGCCCCGACCTCTTCGTGTCGGCCGCGCTGCACCGAGACGCTGCCTGGCCGGACGGACCCTCAGCGACAGTGAAGCAAGGCGCTCTGGACGCGTAAATGACAGTTAGTATTCACAGCTCTGATGGACGTTCGTAGGCAAAGAGCCAGTCTGTTGCATTTTTTAAAAACAAATATGTGATAACGAGGGAATAAAGGCATTCATTCACAACTATGCTAGTGAGAGATAATTGCACATGGGTATCATGACAAAATACAAGGTTGAATTGTAACATTGCCTTTGTAAGCCAGTAAAACTGAGGTCCCCTTTAGTGCTGTGCGTAGATTACTAAACACACTGAGAAGGAAAACCAGAGGCAGCGAAAATGTACCTACCGCGTAGGTGCGATCCGTTAAAAGGATGCGAAAAAAAAATCCTATAAACTAAAGCGACTGTCAAACGAGGTTCGTTGGGTCTAATAAGTTGTTCGCTCTGCTAATATTCTGATATAATTAATAGAAATGCCCATATTCACTTTTGCTCTTTTTCGCGTTTCGACACCGTGCAGTTTCGGCAGAACTTGTTTTAGGACGTCGACTACCGTGCTGTTTTGACATACGGCGCTGACGTATAAGTGCACAAGCACAACGTATCTGAAACAAATTTGGCTCACTTGTCGGGGAAAGGATTTTTCATAGGCGATGGTGGTGAAATATGCACGTGCTCCGCCTGGTTTTGTCTTACATCTTTTCAAGGACATTTCACGCAATTTCACGGCCATTTTTGCATTTTATTTAGGGTTTATACAAAAAGGGAGCGATAAATTAAAGGGGCAGTTTAATGGGAATTTAACTGCCACCTTTCTCTTAGCCTTTGCATTGAAAGGTTGACAGTAAAACATTGCATTTGTTTTTACTCACATCCTTATGCTGCAAGCGGATGGTTACTAGCATACGTTTACGCTTAAATATTGATTAAAATCCAATGGCTGATTCAATTTGATGTCGTTTGATATGAAGCTTTATGTCAAAGTCCCTTCAAGATAATCTGTTCAATCAATTAGTTACTAGTTAGTCGTTTACCTCCGCCGGTTCTAATTGCGGAGAGCGATGGCTCCGGCACCGGCAGAACTTCACGAGGATTTCAAAAACCGGATGCGCGAAGATGCTGAAAAGTTAGTGCTTGAAGTATTTCCACAACGAGTGGTCACATTTGATGAGGTTCTCCAGTCCTCATTTTCACTTCAGAGTTTCTCGCAAGACCTGGAATCGACCACTGAATCAGCGGCAGACGGGCAAATACCCTCAAATAAGCATATTATTGAAATGGTGGACACCCTTAAACCTATGGTGTCTCGTCTGCTTTTAGAAACAAGCCAGGTTCGCGTTTGGATCACTTTGCTGATACCTAAGATTGAAGATGGAAATAATTTTGGTGTTTCCATTCAAGAGGAGTCCTTATTGGAAATAAAAGTTGTGGAAGCACAAGCTGCCGAATTTCTCGAGCATACGCCAGAGTACTTCAGGAGTAGGGCCAAAGCTTTGTCAAAAACGCTGAAATACCCTCAAATTGAAGATAATCACAAGCTAGTACGGCAGCTGGACGAAAATGAATACCATTACCTGCGCCGTGTTCTAACCGAGCTTCGAAATCACTACGCCATCCTTCATGACGTTATCACGAAAAACCTCGACAAGATCAAGGCTCCGCGCTCGCAGTCTATAAATATGATGAGCCTTTAGTCGTCAATAGCCGTGGTTCATGCGAGTTGCGCCAAACGGTTATTTGGACTGGAGACAGGTTAGATTTCTAGCCTGAATGTGGCTGGATGCAGTCTTTCACAAGTCTTTTGTGCTTTTTGTGCGTCAACCAGGAGTTATCTGCCAGCTTTCTTTCTATTTATCGACACAAGTATTCACGTTTGACAGGACGGCAAGAATCGGTATGACAATACATGCCGTTCCACGAATGGATAACTTATTCTCTGCGGTAGCAGTGACACTGCATGAATTTTCATTCTAAGGAGACTGCAGGCATCTCGTCACCATTTTTTATGATAATTGGCAATGCTATGTACGGTTCAAAGACGAATTATCGATAACAGCCTCTATCTCGTAGTTTACACATTCATAAGTTGTCCAAGATTGAAAAACTTTACCCTCGCCGGGCTATGTTTTCTATATTCTTCCCTGCCGATGGTGGCAAGATTATTTTATTGCCGCACTGCTAGGGGGAGTGGGGGAGAGGTATGTGTGTGTGGAACATCCACTCGCTGTTCCGCCCCTACTTGAGCTAGGAGCCTCGCGAAAAAATGAGCGGTTTCACCGCTACGAGACGCAGGTGCCTGATTTTAAAGGGACCCTCCCACCTTAACATTAGTTTTGAGTTGAGATAGCCAAATTGGTGGCCATGGCCTGAAAATACCGGTTTGGGCATTCACAACATCGAAAAATGCTTTAATTCGGAGATATGGAATTTCAAACTTGCAGTTTTCGGATTCTAAGGGGCTAATGCATTGGTATGCCCCCTTAGAATTTGTGACGTCAGCGGAGACCTAACGATTTTTAAATCTTTTACTAAAACGTTTGGCAGCACGCGGTGGTATATGCTGCTTTGCGCGCAACAAATGCCGCACTTTCAAATAAAGTCGCTAGGAACAGCGGAGATCCCAAAAAGTAAACAAAAGTAAAAGTCTAATATCTTGAAAACCGGTGAATATTTTTCGATGAAATTTGGTAGATATTCATTTTTGCTCTTTCTGAACCGAGCGACATCACTTTCATGCCAATTCATCAACTTTTTTGAAGGTGGGAGGGTCCCTTTAAGGGCTCAGGTCCGGTAATAGGTGAACAAAATGGCACCAGGATAATCTGAGGGCACGCTGACCAGGAACGTTCGATCTGTCTGGTCCAAGATCAGTCCACAGAAGCTGGACATGTTGATGTCTTGACGTCCCGGACCGTATGCTTGCCCGTATCTGGGAGAAGGTGGGATACATATGTAAGAAAAGCGCACCTCTCATGTTTGTTATTTTCATGCAATTGATGCTGGAAAGGTGTGACGTTATTTTTGGGACACCCTGTAGGTTCGGTAGTTCACCATAAGTCCACCGTCCGATTGGCTTGAATGGTTTCAATCGATTCTCCGTATCTGATTCCGGGTTGACAACGATTTTCAGGTCACTAGGTCATGACCTTCAAGGTCAAAGTCAAGGTCAAAGGACTGGAGACGTTATACAGCCTAAAGTTACGGTCTGATTGGCTTGCAAATGGTCTCAATCGATTCCCCGACCCCGATCTCATGTCGACGATTTTCAGGTTCCTAGGTCATGACCTTCAAGGTCAAAGTCAAGGATAAAGGTCGGGAACGCTCTACAGCCCAAAGTTGCCGTCCGATTGGCCTGCTAATGGTCTCAATCACTGAACGGTCGTCGGTCTCAATCGATTGCCCGACCCCGATTCAAGGTTGATAACGATTTTCAAGTCACTAGGCTAGGTCATGACTTTCTGGTCAGTCAAACAGACGTGATTCGAGGTCAACATGTTTTTGCTGCGTGATTGACGAACGTGTTCGCAGGAGATTGCGGTCGACTTATGTGGCGTGGCTGATACGATATAAATTGCTTCGGGAACTTAGGTGTTTTTATTTGATATTTTTATACTTTGGATGGTGAAAAGGTGATTAGTACTTGGGAGCGGTACGAGAGATAGATAGAAAAATAGTACTTTTTGGTAGGGACTAAGGAACTGGCCACAATTTAGAGAATAGGCCTTTTCAAGGCTCTTGCATATTGTCCCAAGCATTTGTCGTCCTTCCCTTCACAAACATCAATTGTTTCACTTTCATTTATGTGTTCTAATGTAAATTCATGGGTTTTCCCCATATTCATGGCATAGTATATGGATATGGGTATTCACATGTTGTCTTGCTGTAAAAGTGGCCACCGGTCTTAGTTAGGACGGCCGGTTTCTTTTCTGCTGCGTAGTTAGGTCGCCACCCTCCTCGCAAGGCCGGTAATGTAAGTTAGGGCCACTAAAAAAAGCCCAAAGCGATTATCAGCCATCAGGGTTGAAAGATTGAAAGGAATCTGCACAATTTGCCTATTTGTGGATTCCCAAGAATATCCTAATTTCAGAGATTTTCATGAAATACAACTTGCTAATATACTTTATGATCGGCGCAGCTTCTGAATTTGATTGCATGAGAGGGTGGTGAGGAGACGGACTGGCTGTTTCTAAATCTTGTGGTGGGATAGTGATTCTGTGTTCTAAGTGTAGTATTATAGTTACCGTAAAACGGGGTGTTAAGGGACAGTTTTGAGGTGTTTTGTTATGTAACTCAAGAAGGGTTGGAGATAGAAGCATCAAATTGTCAGCATTGTATGTGGAATTTGGTGCTTTACATGCCTGCCACGTAAAAGTTTTTAAGATTTATCCCTGCATATTATTTTTTATTATTTTTCATCACTGTCCCTTAGCACCCCAATGTGGGGTGTTAAGGGACACCTATATTATTCCAAGAAATGGTCATCAAATGCCCACAATTGGGGTGTGGAAGGGCACACAATTTATTTATTGAAATGTTTTGCATATTCTGTCACAAAACAAGTCAGGTTCATTCACCACTAATGACCTTTTTAGCCAATTACGTGTAATGCAGTTTACACTTGTGGAAAAAGTGCTAATTATAAGGTAAACAGAACCAAAAGTACCCTTCTGTCATCAATAAAAACCCATGTTGAAGCTAGTCACTTGTCATTATGTTGCCCTCTTTGTTTTAGCCTTTTTATGATGACATCACATTTACCTACATCAGTCTCCATTGACCCATCATTGTAAAAGAGAGTGTTGAGATGTTTTGTTACATAACTTAAGATGTGTTAGAGATAAAAGCATGAACTTACCAGCATTTCATGTGGAATTTGGTGTTTTCCATGCCTACTTAATTAAATTATATTTAGATATTATTTTTTATTTTTTATTCCCTGTCCCTTAGCACCCCACATCCACCACAAAATATGCATGTATCCGGAAAAGAGGAAGAGGATGATAAATGAATGGGTGGATTTGCACAAGTTTTTCAGGGAACATGTGCAATACATGTGACAATACACCTATGCATTCATTTTCCCTGTACACCCACTAGTTTATGTGGTACACACAAAGTTTTGGAGATGTTTCAATTTTGTGAAAATGTAGCATGATTTTCAAATCCATTTTTGAACCAAATCACTTGCATGAAAAACCATACCATTTTCTCCTATGGTCAAGAGCAAAACAGTGTCAACTACCACACTGAAGTTTTTATTGAACCTTCTCAAATTAGGAAGTTAATATGACTCAAAGTTTTTCCCATGCAACTGTCCCTTAACACCCCACTGTCCCTTAACACCCCATTTTACGGTAGTAAAAACTGATATTAGCCAGAATATGCCACCTACCCATCCCCTACCCCTGTGCCTGCTGGTTCGTATGTAAAATGTCAGGCACCCACCTTAAGAAATTAAATGTTCAGAAAAAAAGAAGACTTCACAAAAACTTGTGTATCACTCACCAGCTTCAAAATTTGACTTCACTTGATCTGACCGACCTGAAATTTATCTAAATATGCTGCATATCACTAATCTAGTACGTCCATTTAGTTCTATGAATAAATTTACCTACCCATTAAATATGTGTCACACATAACGCCTTATTCAGTGGGTAGTCTGTTTTGATGGCATGATGGGAATTGGGAACTTTACCTTGACTTTTGCATTAGATCATACAGTTTTTTTTTGTCATGGTAGCCTTACAGTGCATCCTGAATGATCAATCTGAATCCATTCTTGGTCAGCTGGACTCTAAAACCATTATAATAGGAATTTGTAATGTTAAAGGGACACTCCCACCTTAACATTAGTTTTGAGTTGAAATAGCCAAATTGGTGGCCATGGCCTGCAAATACCGGTTTGGGCACTCACAACATCGACAAATGCTTTAATTCGGAGATATGGAATTTCAAACTTGCAGTTTTCGGATTCTAAGGGGCTAGTGCATTGGTATGCCCCCTTAGAATTTGTGACGTCAGCGGAGATCTAACGATTTTTAAATCTTTTACTAAAACGTTTGGTAGCACGCGGTGGTATATGCTGCTTTGCGCGCAACAAATGCCGCACTTTCAAATAAAGTCGCTAGGAACAGCGGAGATCCCAAAAAGTAAACAAAAGTAAAAGTCTAATATCTTAAAAACCGGTGAATATTTTTCGATGAAATTTGGTAGATATTCGTTTTCGCTCTTTCTGAACCGAGCGACATCACTTTCGTGCCAATTCATTAACTTTTTTGAAGGTGGGAGGGTCCCTTTAACCTGGACCTGACCTTCACCTGGCCTGTGACCTAATTATGCAATTTTCTGCTCCTGATCGTAGAGACCTTTCGATCGTCATTTTCCCTGTCTTTCTATGACCATCTGGTCTGAAGATGGGGGGGGGGGGGGCGCAGTTGCTTTCCTAGCAGGATGCAGTGCCCTCCTTTGTTACCTTTCCTCTCTATATTTCAGGAAGCCTGAAGATCTATAGGGCAGAAGACAGGATGGTGGATTTATCACCTGGGCAGCGGCTAGCCTTGGGTGTCACAGTGCTGGCACTTGTTGATATCCTCTGGGTGACTTCTTCAGAACTTACTGAGGTGTGCTATTGTTGTTGCTGTGCTTGTGTCATGAAAAAGCTCTCATACAAGTGTTTTTCTAGAATATGTTCACATGCAATCAGTTTCAACTAGAATATGACTTTTCCATCAAGATAATCCCAATCATGGATAGCCTTGATATTTTCTGCCGTGCAAAGGAAGAACCACGTATGTCATTTTTTGGTCAAAAATGGTTTTTTATACCAATCGATAGCCCAAGAAACGGAGCATTTGGTTATGCGAATTATATTCACAAAAAGTTTTTTGAAAATACTTATATTTCCAAAAAACATTTTCCAAAAAACGTATGTCATATCCAAGGGTAGACAGCCAAGGCAAAAACACGTATGTTCGGACTTATCGTGTCCAAAGCACGTATGTCAAAGCTTTCTTGTGTAAATGATTTTTTATTTCTTACCAATGAAAACATACGTGGTTTTGCCAGATATCTCCTCATCATGGGTATCTAAAGATGTTAACGCTCGCGTGGTCAAAACACGTATGTACGGACATTCTTGCTTAAATTGCATTTTTCAAGCACATAAATGAGAACATACGTGGATTTGCCTACTATCTCCGGTAAGCCGACGACAGCGGCACCGACCCCACCGACGTACTGACGCAACCAGGGGACGCAGCAACGGCCATACCGACGGCACCAGGGGATGTGGAGTCGGCCCTACCGACGGCACCCGGGGACGAGGAGTCGGCCCTAACTACAGCAGCGGGGACGCGTCACCGGTCCTACATACAGCACCGGGGGGACGCGGCACCGGCCACACCGGCCCTAACGGAGGACACGTCACCGGTCACACCGGCCCTGCCGGGGGACACGGCACCGGCCTGACCGACGGCACGGGGAACGGCCGTACCAACGGCACCGGGGGACGCAGTACCGGTTCTACCGACAGCAGTTGGGAACGCAGCATCGGTCCTACCGACGACACCGCGGGACGCAGCACCAGTCACACTGGTCTTAGGGGAGGACACGGCATCGGCGATCCGGAAGACGCGACACTATATAGTGCTAACTACAAAAGCGGGGGACACGGCACCGGCCCTACCGACGACACAGGGGAACGCGGCACCGGCACCGTCACACCGGCCCTGATGGAGGACACGGCCAACGACGAGTCAACGACCATGCCGACTGCACCGGGGGACGTAGCGCAGGTCCTACCGACAGCACCGGGGGACGTGGCACTGACGCCGTCACACCGGCCCTAACTAACGGAGACACGGCACCGTCACTCCGGCCCTAACGGGGGACACGGCCACACCGGCCCTAAGGCCCGCCCCACACGAGTGCGATTTTGATGCGGTACGGTTGCGGTGCGGCTGCCGCACGTCAGGCATGCGGCTATCGTGCGGCATCTTGCAGCGCTGCGCGTCATCCATGCGGCGAAGAACGCCATCCATAACGGAGGGCACGGCACCGACCACACTGGCCCTACCGGGGGACGTGTCAACGACCCTACCGGCGGCGCCGGGGGACGCGGCACTCGTCACACGGGCCCTATGTAGATGTGGACACGTCACCGGCCCCACCAGAGGACGCGGCACCGGTCCTACCGACAGCACCGGGGGGACGCGGCACCGGTCACACCGGCCCTGCCGGGGGGACGCGGCACCGGTCTTAACGACAACACTGGGGGACGCCGCACCGGCCGCACAGTCCTAACGAAGGACGCAACACCAGCCCTGCCGATGCAGCCCGAGGACGTGACACCGGTACTAACGAAGACACCGGGGACGCGGCGCCAGTCCTACCGGGGGACGCGGCACTGGCCACAGTCACACCGGCCCTACCGGGGGGACGCGGCACTGGCCACACCGGCTCTACCGGGGGACGCAGCAACGGCGCTAATGGAGGACACTGCATCGGCCCTACCGACTGCACCGGGGGACGTAGCGCAGGTCCTACCGACAGCACCGGAGGACGTGGCACTGACGCCGTCACACCGGCCCTAAAGGAGGACACGGCACCGTTACTTCGGCTCTGCCGGGGACACGGCACCGGCCACACCGGCCCTAACGGAGGACACGGCACCGGCGCTACAGGAGGACGCGGCACTGGTGCTACCTACAAAAGCGGGTGACACGGCACCGGCGCTACAGGAGGACGCGGCACTGGTGCTACCTAGAAAAGCGGGTGACACGGCACCGGCACTACAGACGACACCGGGGGACAGCGCGGGTCCTACCAGAGGATGCGTACAGTGGAACGTGGCATCTGCCACACCGACTCAGTATTCTTCCACCGGCCCTGGAGGGGGGGGGGGGGGGGAAGGGACGCGGCACCGACCCTACCGACGCAACCGGGGACGTGCCACCGCAGGGCGCTGCACCAGCGTGACCGGGGGCGCGGCAACGGCCCTTCCGGGGGATCCGGCACGGGGGGGGGGCAGTACTGGCCCCACCGACGGCACGGGAGGTTATAAGAATCTTCCCATGGACTAATCTGTGTAGTTTCGTACAAATTTTCGCTTATATAAACAGCAACGTTAAAACACCCAGCCCCGGATATAAATGCTAGCGATACACACGCTTTGGGTGTGGCGAAATTTGCCTAGCAGGAATCACAAAGCCACTCCCACGGCCACAATCCTCATTGGTACGCTGGCTTTTATGTTGGAAATGAACGTATGTTGCGGTGTCAAAACAATCGGTGTTGGCAAAAACACGTATGTCATCCACTGCTAGTCACATACGTTGTTTTGCCAATTACGACTTAGTTTGAGCGCCACATACGTGGTTTAGCCACACGGAAAATGACATACGTGTTTTTTCCTTTGCAAAGTTTAATTTGATTGATCAAATTTGATGGTGGCAAAACAACGCCTTAGAGTTTTTAGGGCAGTATTTATAAAAATATATTTACAACAAGGCTCATCGGAATCGCAAGGCGGAGAGGAATTCAATGATATCTTTCTTTTGTCTGTGCGATCTTTTACACGGTTGCTACAATGAAAAACGCATTTTCGGCTCTCCTGAACATTTTTGTTTTTCAAAAAACGGTAACATACGTGGTTTTTCCTTTGCACGGCAGTTTTGATAAAAATTATGGCTCCCTTAGTCATCTATTTGCATTTTTGAATGGTTTCGTGCATGATTGCTGACACTTGTTTTGTTTTGGCAGTACATCTTCAAGGTGGATGGCTACAACAAGCCGTTTTTCTCAACATACCTAAAGAATGCCATGTTCTCGCTGTTCCTGTTGGGGTTTCTGGTGTGGCCGCCGTGGCGCAGTGCCTGTGCCGAGCGCCAGGAGCTGCTAGTCGTGAGTACTCCGGTCGGTATCAGTCAACAGGTACTGCATGTGAGCTCCGGACCATTGCTAACCGAGGAAGGCTTGCACGGATGGAGCGTCCGCACCACACTAACTGGGGAGCTCGCGAGCCCCGGATCCGACTGCTTCGCTGCTCGCTCTGCCTTGCCAGGCCAAACGGGAAATGATGCTGGTACCTCGGAGAGAATCGACGTGTCGGAGAGACAGACGCGTCGACGTCTTAGGTCGAGTACGGCTTTGCATAATCCATCATTCAGTAAGCCGTCAAATGTGTATTGCTTATTGGCACTGGTTTGACGCTTCTAACCATGCTTATTGATTAACTTCTTCATGTGGCATGAAACGTCTGATTTAAATTCCAACCGGTCTGCGCTGATCTCGTTGATTGATTGGTCTAAAATTACGAACAGCAGCTTCTTCAAGTATTGTTAAAGCTTTCGTCTCAAGGTGCTGACACGCTGCTCTGAAGCATTTGCGAAAAAGTGATAGGAAATTGTGTCATATATGAAGTGATGGTCCCATTGCGTACAGAGCACGCGACATAAGAAAATCTAAGTGTGTATTATTGGGCGATGTGGGGATAGATTGGTCAGAATACAAATATAGAGATCATGAATTGAGTACTTTGCTTACTTGAATATTAACTGAATAATATTACCTACTTAGATAGTAATCACAGCTTTAATAGTAAACGTAACATGGTGTCAGAAGTTTATTGAACCTATTACTTTAGAAGAATAAGTGAGTAGCTCTCAATAAGTTGATAAACATGGCGCAAGGATTTCCACTTCCACCACCACTCACGCTGACACTGTCAAAGACCGATTCTCTGGCTGCACCGTGGAAGACATGGAAAAGACAGTGGGATAATTATTCGATCGCAACCGGCTTAAATGAAAGGCCGGAAAATGTTCAAGTGGCGACTCTACTGACCTGTTTGGGGCCTGAAGCCTTGAACGTACTGGACGGATTGTGTCCAAATGAAGAAGATCAAAAGAAACTAGCGACTGTTCTTGAGAAGTTCGAAGAGTTCTGCGGGGGATCTAAAAACGAGACATTTGAAAGATACAAATTTAACTCAAGAAACCAAGAAAACGAAGAGCCCGTTGAGTTGTATCTAGCCGAATTGAGAAAACTGGCCAAATCCTGCAACTACAGGGATCTAGAAGACAGTCTTATAAGAGACAGAATCGTTTTGGGAGTCCCTGACGTGTCTGTACGTAAGCGTCTCCTACAGGAGCCAGATTTGACTCTAGCCAAGGCTATTTCAGTTGTCAAGGCACACGAGGCGACACAAAAACAGATGAAGGACTTCGCCGGAGACACCAACGCCGAGGTTCACGCACTACAAAGGCGTCCCCCGGTACAACGCAGTTTTGCTGCGGCTAACAGACATGAAACGCCAAGGCCCCGCGAGTGCAAATTCTGTGGGAGAATGCACCCATTCAAAAAGGAGAGCTGCCCTGCATGGGGAAAAGCCTGTCAAGCATGTGGCCGACGGAACCACTTTGCAACGAAATGCCGGTACGCAGAAGTGCGTCTACTTGAGCCGGATGCAGTCCAGGACGACTGTGTAGAAGACGGCGCGAGTCAGCACCAAACGGAGAACACTCTGACTCTGGAGATCGGTGCTCTGTCATCGCGAGACGCAGGCAAGCTGTTCGCAAACTTGCTGCTCGGAAGTGACCACTTACAGCGGTTCCAGCTGGATACGGGTGCGTCTGCCAACATAATACCGCAGCACGTCTACAAAAAAGCTTGTGTGGACAGCAACATGAAAAAGCTTAAGCGGTGTGATATATCGCTCGTCATGTTCAACAAAAGCACAACCAAAGTCGTTGGCAAAGCCGAGATAGACGTTCTGAACCCGAAGAATGGGTCAAGATATGTGGTGGAATTTTTGGTGGTACGCGAAGACTTCACCCCACTGATTGGGCTGAAAACACTGCAGACAATGGAGTTGATCGAAGTAAGGTCGGAGAACATCGACTACGTGAATGATTTAGATGTAAATGAGAGCAAAGAGACTGGCTTCTACAAAAATGAAGCAAGAGGAAACAGGGCTGGTGAGAACAGCAGAGCTGCAAAAGCAGACCTGAAGGTACACAAGCAAGCGCTACCGGAAAGAAGCACAAACAAAGAAGCAGAGAAAAAAGACTTCTCAACAAATGATTTACATGCGCAGTACCGGGATATCTTCACTGGGGTCGGAAAGCTACCCGGAAAGCTTCATATCCAAACTGATGAGTCAGTGAGACCAGTACAACTAGCTGCAAGATCGGTTCCAGAAGCAATGAAGCAGGACATCAAGGACGAGCTGGACCGTTTGGTAAAAGACGGCATCATTTCGACGGTGTCAGAACCGACTGACTGGGTCTCCGCCATGGTAGCCGTAAGCAAGCCCACAAAAGGAATTCGGATCTGTATCGATCCACAGCCATTAAACACGGCCATCAAACGAAACCACTATCCGCTGCCCACGATAGAAGACTTGACTCCCGCACTAGCAAACGCTAAAGTGTTCACAGTCTGCGACGCCAAAAGTGGGTACTGGCATGTCGAGCTGGACACGGCCAGTAGCTACCTCACGACGTTCGCTACACCGTGGGGTAGGTATCGCTGGCGACGCATGCCGTTTGGCCTGTGTCTAGCGTCCGAAGAATTCCAGCGAAGACTCCATCAAGCTCTCGAAGGCTTGGAAGGCGTGATGGCAATAGCAGACGACATACTCGTCTACGGGAACGGTGCCTCTCACTCAGAAGCCGTGGAAGATCATGATAGAAAACTGTTATGTCTACTAGAAAGGTGCAGAAACGTAGGACTTAAACTGAACATGGAGAAAATGAAGCTCAGGCAGACTGAAGTGAAGTATATGGGCCACATCTTCACACCTAATGGCATGAAGGCAGATCCTGACAAGGTAAAGGCAGTCAAGAACATGCCTGCCCCAGAGGACCGCAAAGGTGTGCAAAGAGTGCTTGGCCTGGTGAACTATCTACAGCGGTTCGCCCCCAACCTCGCGGAAGCCTCTGCACCTCTCAGATCGCTTCTCAAGAAAGAAAATGCATTCATCTATGAGGAGGTACACAAGCGGTCATTGGAAAACATCAAGGAGATCATAACTCAAGATCCCGTGTTGAAGTACTATGATGTCAAGAGAGAGGTTGTGGTACAGGTTGATGCATCCAGCCATGGGCTGGGAGCCTGTCTTATGCAAGACGGCCAGCCGGTAGCATATGCATCAAGAGCGCTCAATGAGACCGAAAAGAACTACGCTCAAATCGAAAAGGAGCTTTTGGCTATTGTGTATGGACTCAACAAGTTTGAACGCTTCACCCAAGGAAAGAAAACTAAGGTGGAGTCAGATCACAAACCTCTCGAGTCGATCATGAAAAAGCCGCTGGTGAGCGCACCAAAACGACTCCAAAGAATGATGCTCCAGCTGCAGAAGTATGATTTTGAAGTTGTCTACAAACGTGGCCAGGAGATGTACATAGCGGATGCTCTCAGCCGAGCACATGAGGCCGAGGCTACAGACGACAAACTCAAGGGTCATGTATGCCTCCTAGAAGAAATTTCGTCAGACGAAGTGGAAATAAGAAACATGAATGCCTTAGAACACAGTCCGGTGTCAGACAGAACGACAAAGCTCATTCTGCAAGCTACAGAAGAAGATCAAGAGATGCAAGAAATGATCAGAATGATCAAGAACGGTTGGCCCGGCAGCAAGAAGCAGATATCTGACCAGCTGAGACCGTACTACAACGTCAAAGAAGAGCTTTCCACTAGGGATGGGTTTGTCCTGAGAGGCGAGCAGATCGTGATCCCAAGGTCCATCCGCCACATCTTGAAAGAGCGAGTGCATTCGGCACATATCGGACTGCAGGGATGCCTCAGAAGAGCTCGTGAGGCGATATACTGGCCAGGTATGACGGAGGAACTGAAGGAGCTGGTCACCAGGTGCAGTGTATGTCTGGAGTACGGTAGAAAACAACAACGGGAGACACTGAGCTCGCAAGATATACCACAGCGACCATGGCAGTACATAGCTTGCGACATGATGGAGTTCAAGAACCACTCGTATCTGGTGACAGTTGATACATTCTCGGATTTCATTGAATGTGATAGGCTTAGTGACAAGAGAGGAAGTGAAGTGATAAGGATCTTAAAGTCCCAGATGGCAAGACACGGATTGCCCGAAAAAATGATGACGGACAACGGGCCGCCCTTCAATTCAGCTGAGTTCAGACAATTCGCTGAGAAGTTCGACTTCAGACATCAGACGAGCTCGCCAGGATATCCCCAGTCAAATGGCAAGGCGGAAAGTGCTGTGAAGATCCTCAAGAATCTCATGATAAAGGCAGAAGCGGACGGCCGAGATGCCTACTTGGCGCTGCTCGACTGGCGCAACACACCGACCGAAAGCATCGGTAGCTCACCGGCACAAAGATTGTTCGGTCGCCGCACACGCACACTGCTCCCAACTACAAAGTCACTTCTCAAACCCAAGACAGTGCGCGACGTCCCCAGCCGATTAGCTGATCGCCAGCAGAAGCAGGCCGTCTATTACAACAGAGGTGCAAAGGATCTTCCGATGCTCAGCGAAGGGGAGCATGTCTACATGGCCCCTGCACCAGGACGTAACCATTGGAGGGCGGCTACCGTCAGTAAGTATCTGGGGAACAGATCATATCTCGTGAAGACTGACGATGACGGCGGCGTGTATCGCCGGAATAGACGTCACCTCCGCCGTGACCCGGGTCAGGACAAGCCTCCGTATCAAGAGGCCGGGTCACGACCGACCTTCGAAAGGGCTCGACCGGCACCGGACAGACCGGGAAGGGGTGCAGCGACACGCCAGTCATCTGATGATGAGTATATGTATATACCCGTCCCCAGTGTACCAAGACAAGTGGCTGCTACGCCACAACAGGCTCAACACAGAGAACAGGCGCAAGTGACTCGATCTCCATACCTACTCAGAAGCAGGAGGAGAGTCAACTGAGCATGTTCAGAAAAGGGAGGATGTGTCATATATGAAGTGATGGTCCCATTGCGTACAGAGCACGCGACATAAGAAAATCTAAGTGTGTATTATTGGGCGATGTGGGGATAGATTGGTCAGAATACAAATATAGAGATCATGAATTGAGTACTTTGCTTACTTGAATATTAACTGAATAATATTACCTACTTAGATAGTAATCACAGCTTTAATAGTAAACGTAACAGAAATAATATTTTGTATTTTTTTTTTTGGCATTGTTTGATAAGACATGTGTGCGAAAAGAAACCTAGAAATGTCCGTCGAGTTACAATGAAAGCAATTTTGCGTCATATTAGATGACATGGCTCCTTTTTACGACCTGACGAACGTTGGGTGGTGCTCCGATTTGTGATTGTTGATTTATTCTCGCTGTGTTTTAGCCGATGGAGACGATGTCTGAGGACTGCTTCGTGTTTGTTGGCTTACTTGGCGCTGTGTGTTTTCTTTTGTTTCAGCCGATGGAGACGATGTCGGAGGACGGCGCCAGCTCTGCCGGCAGTCCGGCACCAAACAGTCCCACGCCGGGTTTCCGGCGAGCGCTGGTCAGTACCTCGGGGCTCTCCTTGCCGCCCACCTCCCCCTCTGTAGCCCATGCCCTCCTAAACGGGCAGCCTTCCTCCTTCCACAACCGGCAGTACCCGATACACCACTCGGTCCACGGCTCGCCTGTATTAGTCACCATCGATGTATGACATTCGCATCGATATTCGTGTGTTTACGGCACTGTCAGAATCCGTGAACTCTGACGTCTCTGGAGGGAGCGGAGAAAGTACGTACGTGCTATGCATGGGCTCTTCCTTGCAGACAGCGCGAGTGTGTCCGTCTCCCGTTAGCCAGAGTGAGTGTGTATCTATAACCCGTTTGAGTGCATTCGTTATCATAATTTGACCTCGCCCCTTCTGTGCGGACAGAGTGAGCCGGAGTTTGTGCCAGTCATGTTTGACGAGGAACGCTCGTCGGGCACCGACAGCGAGGACCAGGCGGCCGCGGCCGGCGGACGACGCCGCAGGGCCGTCCGCTTCAGCCGCGTCAAGGAGGTGCGCCAGCTGTGTGAGCGGGACGCCGGCCAGGCGCTGTTTGCGCGCCTCTCGTACCGCGCCAGCGTGCAGCTGCGGCGCCAGGCACTGCTGCGTGCCGCCCGCCTGCCGCCGGGACAGGTGGCCCGGCTGGCGCTGCAGTTCACCGTCCCCGTGAGTACCGACCCCCTCCACTCCGACTGCCGCTCTTAGCCCCTCCCCCCTCCGCACGGCCATTCCCTCCCTCTGCCGTCCTCCCCTGACTACCCCCGCCCCCCCACACACACACATACACCACCTAAGCCGCCCAGCTGGTGCTGTAGTTTATAACTGTCCTGGCCGCCCCCAGTGCACCCTTCCCCTTACGACTGCCTGTGGCACACGTTGGTGAACTCTCGGGGCCCCTGCTGCCGGTGACATACACTAATAGTAGATAGGTCACACCTGATAAAGAGTCCGTACAACGTATCGGCTCGCTGTGCCATTTTATTGCTTTATTGACCTCTGTGGCCTATCGTCCTTACTGCCTACTGCCTAGCTTTCTCTTATCATCAAGGTAATATTTAGGCGTGAATTGTCAGACGGCTGTTTTATGCGATAGCGGTAATTAATGCAGATTTGGTAGTCTGACTACCATGCAAGTGTTATGTCTGTGTGGAGTAATCTGTGAGGGTCACCCTTGCACCTGTGTGGGCTGCATGGAGCGGTGGCTGAGGTCAGTCGGGTCAGCTCACGTCTGACGCCCTGTCTCTCTCCGCCAGTTCGTGCTGGGCCAGTACTGCTACCAGCTGGCGCTGAGTCTCTCGGAGGCCGCCTACGTCAACATCCTGAGCTCGTCGTCGGGTTTGTTCGCCCTGGTGCTGGCCGCCGTGTTCCCGTCCACGCCCGGGGACCGGTTCACGCTGTCCAAACTGCTGGCCATCACCGTTAACATCGGAGGAGTGGTGAGCAACGACTTCCCCGCCGGCCGGCTGCCCGTGCATGGCACCCACAACCTAGAAATGTCACCTCACACGGATCGAGATGACTTTTTATTATCACTGTCTGGTGGGGGGGGGGGAGGGGGGCTGACATATGGGCTGCGCTGCTCCAGTGACCAGCTCTGTGACCTGGAACACTGCGTTGACCCCGCTCCCTATGCCGTCAGGTGGCCGTCAGTCTGTCGGGCCTGCAGGGCCACTTTGAGCTGCCGCTGGGCGCACTGTGGGCACTGGCCGGCGCATTCCTCTACGCCTCGTACGTGGTCCTGCTGCGCGCCCGCGTCGACCACGAGGACAAACTGGACCTCATCATGTTCTTCGGTGAGACGCGGGGGTGTCACAGTCGCCGGCACTGTGGTTCGAACGGGCGTCCTGGCCAAACCGGCCGCTCATCGCACCCGCTGAATAGCAGCTGTCCCACTTTTGCATCATACAGATTGTGTGGGATTCGCTTATCGTTTTCGAGTAATGCTACGGGATGAATTTATCACCTGCTGTGCATCTAAGCTCAAGCAGACTGAAATTACAGACTGATCTGGCTGCTAGAGTACTAAGTCTGTATTCTAGCCTTAGTCCCCTAGCAGCTATCGACCAGTGACTTAATATGAAAGATGCTGTGAAGATGCTGCTCGGTTCTCACCTTATGCAAGAGGCCCCCTAGTATCACAGCTCTGTGTATGTGCGGCAGGTTTTGTGGGCGCGTTCACTGCGCTGCTGTTCTGGCCGGGTTTCCTGGCGGGCCACTACAGCGGCTACGAGCCGTTCCAGCTGCCGTCCCGCCAGCAGTGGATGTTCCTGGTGGCCAACGGTCTGATCGGCACCGTGCTCTCCGAGCTCCTCTGGATGTGGTGAGCAATGAGCGCGGGTCGGTCACCTAGTTAACGCCCGGGTCAGTTATCCTGTCACTTAGTGTCTGAGCGCGGGTCAGTCTGATTAGGCACCGCGCTCTCAGAGCTTTTCTGGATGTGGTGAGTGGATGGCATGAGGGCTCAGTGCTGTTGCATGAAGTGGTGTGCACCGAATGGTGAATAAGTCGTAGTGCTCTGAGTGGCGTGTCGGCGATTTTAGACGTGTAGATACAGTATATCGTGACGTTACGTGAGACGGTGTGAATCGTTTGTTGTGCGATTATTTATTTTTATTGTAATGGTATTGTGCTGCAGTAATAACGTTTCCGTTGTCTTTCTAGGCCTCCCACTCCTGACTTTAATTGCCCTCAGGGGCTGTCTGCTGACCCTCGCCCCTCCCCCAGGGGCTGTTTGCTGACGTCGACGCTGATCGCCACGCTCTCGCTGTCTGCCACCATTCCGCTGACGATGGCCGCCGACGTGGTGCTGCGCTCCGTCCACTACCCGGCCTCGTTCTACCTGGGTAGCGTGCCCATCTTCGCCGCCTCGGTGGCGGTGACGCTGCTGGCGCACTGGGACAACTGGGACCCGGCGCTGGAGGGACTCCGGCTGGCGGCCGGCTGCTGCTGCCGCTGCCGCCGGCGGCCCGTACCACTGCGGTGAGCTGAGCCACACTTCCTAACTCCCCCCCCCCTCGACCCCAGGGTCGCACTGCGGCCCGTACCACTGCGGTGCGGTGAGTGGAGCCACATCTCCCACCCACCCCGACATAAGCGGAAAGAGGAGGAACTGCCACGGTCTCTTCGTATCTAGTTATTTTACTGAGAAACTAGACGTGATAGGTGAAGAAAAGGCGTAAGTTCTTTTCAGTGTTCTTCTTTCGGAACCTGAATATATGCGTTCAGCTTTTTCACGTTAAGCTTTCACGTTCAGCTTTTTCACGTTTCACCACCTTTCTTAACCCGCGCACCGACGGGGGGGGGGCGGATATCCGCCCCCCCTCCCTGAGGTTTTTCGCGAATAGCGGGAAAACCGCGGCGCGTAGCGCCGCGAAATTTGGTATGACTATAACCTCATCAATTTTACACATGGTGTGCAAGTTTGAACCTCCTACCTTTTAAGGTCAGGTCACCAGGTCACTTTGAATGACCCAACCTCAAGTCACTTTTTTGCAACTTTGTCACCGTGCCAGAGCTACAGTAGATGTCGGAGGCCTTTGAAAGTCGCAGGATATTATTAGGTCATTAGTAGCTACAATTTGTATATCTCGGAATTTTGATATCGGTGACTTAAGGTCAGGTCAATTTCGCGACCTCCCCATTATAAGTCAATGGGGAGAAAATCAACTCCCTGTTTTTACCACTAAAACGGGTCGGAATGGCCCATATACCATACATGACTTCATATACGATCAACCTTCACTACCTTGAGGTCTGTTTTGCTGTTGGGCAGCTGTGAGGTCATGTGACGTCATCAAAGGTCACCAAAGGTTTTTGGCCAATAACTCCGTACAGGAACAAGATACAGACGCGTGGATGGTCTCATTGTGTTCAGCTCGTCAAGACGCATCGAATGATATACATGATGACCTCGAGGTCACGTGACCTGAGGTCAACCTTTGACCTTAACCTTTCGAGGTCAACATATATATCATTCGATGCGGATTGACGAGAGGATCACGATGATGCCCTTAGTTTGTTCCTAGCTTGACTAATTCGAAAGTTATTCGAGAAAAACTCTCCATATCTAGCGCCGCCATTTTGACTTTTTCTACCCCTGTGACGTCATCTTTGACCTGACCTGAAAATGACCTTAGTAAAAATTGTAGATCTTGGCCGTGCGTATCCGATGCCGTTTACCGCTTGTCGCTATCTTGCTTCGTTCTCGAGATCTCAGGGGGGGGGGGGCGGTCATCCGCCCCCCCCCCCGTCGGTGCGAAGTTGGCGCAGACCCCCGTCGGTGCGCGGGTTAAATTGATAGTCGCAAAAATATACACCAACATCATGTTTTAGCAGCTGTTTTGGGGCAGACAATCTGGTAAAGACCTTCGTGGATTGGCTAGATTTGTTGACATTTTTTAGGTAATAAAGACACTGGTTTGACGCTCAGGTGATGAAGTGAAATGCAATGTCATTACAGCTTTGGTGCCCGGCTAACGCCAGAATATGTGCCTTTGCGTACCAGGGCCGCTGTTTGGACTGCAGCTGTGCTTATTTGACGTGAACCGTGTCCCGTCTGTCCAGGTCGGACCCGGCGACGGCCGAGCAGTCGACCTCGCTAATATCGGCCTCCGATGACGAGGATGACGAGGAGGAGGAATTCATCCGGACCAGCACGTGATGGCGACTCGTCAGCGGAGCTAGGTGCCGGGCCAGGGGGACACAGCGGGCCGGGGAGGGTGACGGGACGTGGAACAGACGCCGGGGAGGCGCACAGTGCCCGGGTCTCCCGGTCCCCCGGTGGGCCCTCCGAGTAGCGGCTGCGGCTAGGTGGAGCGGGGAGCTGCTGGTCGCCGGTCGTACGGTCCCGTCAGAGGGCGCTGTACGGGCTTGACGAGCTTCCCAGGGTGCCCCACCCGGCTCGATCAGCTCGTCAGGGGGCGCCGTACGGGTCTGATCAGACCGTCAGAGGGCGCTGTACGGGCGAGACAAGCTTCCCAGAGTGCCCCACCCGGCTCGATCAGACCGTCAGGGAGCGCCGTACGGATCTGACGAGCCCGTCAGAGGGCGCCGTGCGGGTCTGACTAGTCCGTCAGGGGTCGCCGTACGGGTCTGATCAGTCCGTCGTCCGTCAGAGGGCGCCGTACGGGCCTGATCAGACCGTCAGGGGCGCCGTACGGGTCTGACGAGTCCGTCAGAGGGCGCCGTACGGGTCTGATCAGCCCATCAGGGGCGCCATACGGGTCTGACTAGTCCGTCAGAGGGCGCCGCACGGGTCTGACTAGTCCTTCAGAGGGTGCGCCGCACGGGTCTGATCAGTCCGTCAGGGTGCGCCGTACGGGTCTGACGAGTCCGTCAGAGGGTGCGCCGTGCCAGCCCGCCAAGGGACACCGTAGACATCAGCCTGTCCGGGACGTCACTCTGACCTCACCAGCCTGTCAGAGGGCGCCACACGGACAGACCGGCCGGCTGTACCGATCGCTCTCACATATCCCTTTCCCGTGCGTGTTGTGGCAGTGTGGTTTGCTGCCGCTGGTCCATTTGTTAGCGGGTGACGCTTTTATTTATATATTTAACTTCATGCAGTGTTGTGTCCATTATTTTGGGTATTGAAACCATCGCCAGGTATTTATTCTTAGCCAAGCTTATAACCATCAGTTGGTATCGAATTACATCGCCAATGGTACCAACTGGCTTCAGGGAACATGATTTAAAGTCCATTAACGTTCCTTGTTATCGTAGTGACATATGATCATGGACTGGTGCTGGTACTGGTACCGAAGAGCATTTATTTGCACTCGGCTTACTATGCTAATAACTTTCTTTAAAATGCGTTCAGTATTTCCTTTGGCACACTCTACGTAAGACGGCTGATTTTGGTTAGACTACCGCATCCTTCCTACATCTATATGGCTTTAATTTTTTTAGCTGCCGTCATTTACGCTGTAAGGGTACCTAAGTTTAGTTTGTGCGTTTTTTAAATCGAACAGCATTAAAATGTAATGCCGTTTTCACTGATTCGGTCCGCGAAGAGTTCATGATCTCGATGAAAAGTAAGATTGATGCATCAGTTCATGAGTCTACGACTCTACCTGTTTCGCAGCCATAGCGAACAAGCTTAGCCAAAGGTTTGCATGACTTGTTATCATAGTCCTAGTAAATATGCATTTATGTACATTCCTCGAGTTTTCATTATCTTTGTTTTGTTGCCCTCTGTGGGAAAAGTGATGTATTCCCCCGGTGTAATCGATCGTTAAACAACGCCTCAAGCTCTTGATCATAGCGATTATGACGAATTTTTATAGTTTTGTTTTCCATTAGTCCCGCTTTGTGATATAAGCACTACTGCAAACTCGTCTCTGGTATCTATTGTGTGTTATTTTATGGTTGGTGTCGGCTCTTCATTTGCACAAGCTGTGGTTGTGGGGCACATGTCACGGTGGGAGATAGGTGCTGGCGACCAACGTTGGGCTCATCTGACTTGTGTTGGCCGCACGGCCAGTTTTGCCGCGGTTGCTGTACCCTGTGATGTGCGTTAGCCGCCGGGTGGCCGTTTGATGATGGCTCGCGTGCGAGCCACCGCCTCGCACGGCGCTCTAGAGCGCTACAAAGCTCGGCACTCTCGGCTTCGGCACTACTGCCAACCAGGGCGGGACTGAGTGCGCCAGATAGAATGTCGAAGTGAAGAGCTTGCGTTTGCAGGGGACATACCCACACACATGCTAAGACTGGTCCCAGGTTTGTTGATCCTACGCGCTGTGCAGGTAGCGAATTGGTAGATGCCACAAACGTTGTGGGTGGTGGCCGTGTGGTGGCTTTCATCGATGCTTGTTAATGGTTAGTGAGCCAAATGTGCGATAGCTAGCTGTTGAGTGATTATTTAGCGGTATTCCGTGCCGACATATCGAACCGGTATCGTTGTTGGTGATGCTGCCATGTTACCATGATTGTTAATTGCCGATGGTGAATTAAAGCCCGATAGATGGATCACCTAGTCATCGGCTCTGATCGTTAGGGCTAGTTAGACATTGGGCGTTAATTATGTCGGTGGCATGAAAGATATTGCTGATTGGTTTATAGGTCAGTTTGACGCATCCTGGTTTTCTGTCGCTCTGGTGATTGTTAACCCGCGCCCTGATGGGGGGGGGGGCCATTTTGGCCCCCCCCCCCTGTGGTTTTTCTTAAATAGCGAAAAAACGGCGGCGCGCAGCGCCGCCAAATTTTGGGTACCTTACCGGACATCAATTTGACACCTTCACAAAAAATTTCAAGTCACAGGTCACCTCAGGTCAGGAGTTATTGAGGTCAAACTGAGGTCATGTTCGAGTAAAAATGAGCAAAAAACATGACATCTTGAAACGCTCACTAATTCTACAGTTCACAAGCAATTTTAAAGTTCTTTATGTGGTTGTGTAGAGAAAAGACGGTGCTACAAAACTGCCATCTCGGATTTTTGAAATTTTTGGATTTTGACCCCCAAAAATCAAAAAAATTGATTTTTTTAGAAAAACTCAAAAAAATTCCAAATTTTTTTCGAATTTTGAAAAAAAACCGGAATATATGTGATAGTCCCTGCGCTCTTCGATATACATACCAAATTTAAGATCGATAGCTCTTTTTTTGGCCAAGTTATAGCGAAAAAACTGTTAAAAATTGATGACGTCAAATTTTTGAACTCAATTTTTAGCAATTCTAGACATCGTAGCGCAAAACGGAGACCACCATTGAACTCCCCGTGACGAGCTGCATCGAATCGATACCCTTTTTATGCAAAAATATCAACTTTGAAATTTGACCTAATTTGACCTGACCTTGACCTGACCTTGACCTGACCTTGACCTGACCTTGACCAAAACGTGACCTAAGCTGGCCCTAAAGTCTGTCTGACCCACATAATCGCATTTGTCATGTAAAATGGACCATAAAACATGCATCACACGACACTTTCATATTGTGACCCCCCAGTGACCTGACCTCTGTGACCTGACCTGGTATCAGTGACCTCAAATAGCAAAATATGTGTTTGAAGAACATTTCCCCATCGATGATTTTCAATGAAATGCATTTTACACGATTTTACAACGCATTTCTTGAAATGCCTGTAAACGGTGAAAATTCGACCTTTGACCTGACCTGTGACGTCATCGGTTTGACCGAGGTCAATGAAATTGGGTCACAAGGTAGTTCCCTGTTGGGGCTATCCAACACCGTTTACCGCTTGTCGCTATGTTGCGTGGTTCTCGAGATCTGAGGGGGGGGCCAAAATGGCCCCCCCCCCCCCCATCAGACCGCGTTGCTCGGCAGACCCCATCTGGGCGCGGGTTAATGGTGAAATGGTTCTCCACAAATTACTTCTTGTTTATGGGATGTGATTGCTGTTTTGTTTGACTTGATTTGTGCAATATTGACAAATACATTATTTTTGCATGTAACGGTATGGTTTTCATGAGCTTCGTTTTCGAGCTTATTACTTCGGGGCCCGTTTTCTTCACTGTCATTTGAAGTTGCTTCTTAGAAGACGTGAACTTGATTTTTCCTTGTTAAGATAACCCAAGAAGGTGAACTGCAGTTAGGTTCGTTATTTGGCAAAGGCTTGTGAACTTGAACACGACTTCATGTATGAATGCTTGACATATACACCGACTTCGGAGAAATTGGGAGTGATTTTTTAGGCAGGTACCTCAGCAGAGATGTGGACAGAACATTGTTTTTACATAGGTGTGGCGCTTTCCGTTCAAACCAACCAACATTGAACTGAGCTGTGAGCATAAGAAATCAGAATCGTCTTCTTAAATTTGACTCGTAGGCATGACTGACTTTGCTGGCGAGTGACTGAGGAGCGACTGTGCCTGGCCAGTGAGAGTAGCTGACCCACACTTCGGTCTCTCTATGTCCGATATCTCTCCCCCGTGTTGTCGGTGTGCACTAGAGCACTTCACGGATAGGCTTTTTAGGATCCGGCCCGGCCCATATCCGGCAAGTCATATCCAGATCCGCCCATTATCCGCCTTTCTTTGAATATCAGAATCCGGCCCACCCATGGCCCGTATTGCAGCCAAACTTCCAAAAAATATCCGTAATAATCCGTTTCACCAATAACTGGTTTCACCCAAAACTGGACTAACAAATTCAATCTAAGGGACCAGACAGCCATACATCTCATAGACCATCATGGTTCCAAAAACCATGCATACATTGCATACATTATCCACTTGAAGACAAGTCTTGTGACAAGTGAGTGTCATAAAATGATGCCTATTACTTTAATCAAACCTCTGCTGCCGCTTAACACATTAGGTTAATTTTTAACTTCAATGTTGAATGTTAAAATTTTGATCCGTTTTGATCCGGGTTCAACCTTCAATTCCCAAATCCGGCCCGCCCATATCCGTTCTTTTTTAACAAATTTAGAATCCAATCCTATCCGGTCCGCGGATTTATCCGTGGATAACGGATTTATCCGGCCCATGAAGTGCTCTAGTGTGCACGCAAGGAGTTGAACCTCAGCGCGCCCCCGGGCTATGTAGCTGTTGTCAGTGACCTTTGATACTAATCTGCAAGTGTCACACATTTATTTCCTTAACACTAACAACAAGCATAATTCTGGTCAACACAAAAACATGAATCGTCCGGCAGTGGTACAGCCACCTGCAATGGCTATTTGTCCAGCATATGGCCGTAATCCATCAGAGAACAAGTTTGTATGTGGTTTCTTGATGCGGGGCACTCGCTTTTGTGGTAGGCGTTTACTTCCATAAGCTCAGCGCAATGGCTGTGATTGGTGCATTATGCTGTTGTATCGGTGTAAAACCACAAAGGTTGATCCATTTCAAATGGCAGACCAAGTAAACTGCCCGGCGCCCACCCACTCCTATAAAATAGTGCTCGGCGCCGGGCCCACCCCCACACTCCGCTGGCGCCGGGCCGCCGCTGCGCCCCACCCCCGGCGTCCCATCAGCACACCCACGCCGACAGTGGCCGCTCAGTGGTGGTAGTGGTGGTAGCGGCCGTCGCCCAGCGCCTCCAGCAGGTACTCGGAGTGGTAGCCGTGCTGACCGATGAAGCGCGCCTGGTCGCGGTACGGCTGATCGGGCGCCAGACGGTACTGGCGCGGCTTGTACAAGAACTTGGAGCCCACCACTGTCTTCAGACTGAGCGGCTTGGACGGGTCGGGCGGACTGCCGAGGTGTTTGCCGAACTGAGCCGCGGCCAGCGCGAGCAGAGAAGCGATACAGCACAGCACCTGGCGGGCGGGGCAGACGATCAGACCAGACCCCCGACACGGCGTCCCTGCAGGTCATCCGGTGTGGGTCAACGTAGATCACATAGCTATCAACGGTTCGTGGAGAAAGTAACTACGGATTGTGAGTTATCGCACTATGTGATCGCAGTCATGCTTTTTGTGTGACAAGTAAATGACCTTACCCTTCGTCGTCGCGTAACCTTGAGAATTGAGATGTGAACTGCTAACAAAAAGCAGCGCAAGATCCGAGCGAGTCGGTCGTCCAGTTTTTAGGTTGCATGTCTACAAGTTAACTGGATGGCCCACAAAGAAGTGTCAAACGTTGATCAAGCGACTTTAGTTGAGTTGACCTTTATAGGTCCCGTCAAACAGCTGAGTGTTTCAGCAGCTGCATTATTTTGGGCTAAAGATCGCCGACATAGAGGGCTGTTTGCCAAGACTCTTGTTGATGCGAGTTTTCCACGATCGTAGGTTCGATGTGTGAACACTAATGCCGTACATACACACATACAGTCCGGGGGGCGCCCGTCTCAGCCACCCAGCGCACCTGACTGTGCACAGTTGTGCGAGTCATGCTGGCTGTCTGCGCTCACGGGTTGCCACATGGCAGCGACGGCCGTCGGATGGTCTCAGCACAGCGGGCAGTCCCGGGTGGCACGCTCCAGCGCCCGCCG